CCTCTGCAGCGATCCGCTGACCGCCACGAACAACCTTATCGAGTTGCTGATCTTTGGCGTTGACGCCACCGGAACGAGGACCAGTCACCTCCATTCCACGGGCTGCTTTTTGCACTTTTTGGCTGAGATCCATGATCTGCTTGTTACCAAAGTCACGAGAGGTGAATAGCGGACTCTGGCTGAGAGTCGCGACCCAGTATTTATTCCATAGAAGGGACAATATTTCCGTATCAAGAGTGCTCTTGAAATGACTGACATCAAGAGAGTAGTATTGATTGGCATGTGCACCGAAATCCTCCGCCTTCCCAAGTGGGATAGTCTGATACTCGTCGTCCTCATGAGCCTCCTTCTGCGGGGTAAAGTTCGACGGGAATGTGCGGAAAGCACCGATCTCAACGCGGCCCGCGGAGATGGTACGGTCCGGATCGATGACAACGGCGACAAACGGTCCCGTCATTTGCTGTGTTTGCTGAGTGGCCACATCAATCCCAGACAACCAGCACCCATAACCAGGGTGACTGTGATACCACCCAACAGCATTTTCCATCCGCCCTGCGTCTCGACATGACTGCAGATATGATACCATGTACTCGTTTGCTTCGTCCTGCGCATTCACTCGGGTCTCGGTGCCCTCAACTGGCAACCGGAACGCATCTGTCACCACGAAGGTGTTCGGTAGGATGTAGCCTTGCATCAGACCCATGATCTCTAGTGAGCCACCTGAGCGGGCGTGCATCACCATCTTCAATAGTGCTGTGGCGGAGACTCGGACGTGCTTGAAATAGTATGGGTCGGTGGCCCATGGTCGCGCGTCGTTGAGGGCTTTTTCTGTGTCGGCATCGTATTCATAGAGGGCATCTCGTTGGGGATCAAAGACGCTTATTGCGTTCTCGAGCTCTGTGCGGGGACATTGGTTAATTCCAAGCTGGTTGTCATATGTGTATGGAGGTACTCACCCCAGGCCTGCTGGGCAGCCTGCATTGTGGATGGATGGGAATGGAGCAGACAGTCGAAGGGGAAACAATGTATTGGAAGGATCAGAGTACTTAAAGTAAGGGTACAGTGATAATGGGAGTTCTGCAAGGATCGGAGAATAAATAGTATCAGAAGTCAATGCATGAAGTACAAAGTAGAGTAGGCCGTGGGGTTGATCATTGATTGGCAGTATTGGGCGGTGGGTATGGCTGAGTCATCCGTTGCCCAGGACGACGATCGCGCCCAAACACCCACTTGCGACCTTGGAAACTTGATGTTATCTATCATCTGCGATTCCAGTACTTCCCCCTCATAAACAACTGTGTGTTCGCTCTCCTATGTCGCTGCCTTGAGTGCTTCCGCAATCCTTTACTTTCCTTTATTTCCGTCGCACCTTGTGTGCTGAGAACCCTGTGTGCCAGGATCTCTTGTTTTGATCCCGACATTGGTCACCCTGTCGCAGCTTCGCTCGGCACTGTGTCGTTGGATTGGATATACCTCATTCTTTGTTATCAATCTCGATTTTTGTCACCCTCGTTAAGGGACTTTCGTTACAATGGCGGTAGACACTGGCTACCTGACCACTCAGGTCAATAACATCGTCGCCCAACTCCATGGGATTTATGATGAGATTGGAGTTCCTGCGCGCGAGCGCGAGGCCCGTGAAGCGGATGTAAGTTCGAACTTAGTGTAACAAGAGCGTTGTCGCATTGTCGCATGGCTAACAGAGTGATACAGCTCTTCAGCGCCCTGTCAGAGACCTTGAACAATCATCTTAAGGTTGTTGATGAGTGAGTCGCATCTATAAACAGGCTCATTGGAGGCTTGCTAATCTTGTTTTTAGGGAGAGAGAGGACATGACGCAGGAAGCAGAACATCTCATTACAGCGATTCAACAAATGGAATCGTCCCTGAGCGATGAACGAGCCAATGGCCAATACGAGCTTAACCGCGACGACCTTCGTGTCACTTACCCACTTAACAAATGTATTGCGTTCTTACGTGAGAAGAATGACTCGATGAGCAAGTTGCATCGTGAACGCTATGAGCAGGTTAAGAGTGAGTGTTATCTGTGTGATGTGTCGCTGATGCCCTTTTACTGACATCCAATAGAACTTGTCGACGCGCTTGAATCTTACTCCTCACACCTCGAGCCATCCTTTGTTAAGCTCGAGCTTCCTCCCACTGCGCCAGGGTCCTCAATCCCCCCAAGCTTTGACCTTTCGCCTATGTATGTGACGGCGTTGGATGCCGAATTCACCCACGTCTACGAAGAGTACCACCGCCGCATTGCCCAGGTCCAATCTGCATGCGAAGAAATGATTAAGCTCTGGGCCGAGCTTGGAACGCCCCAGGCGCAAACAGATTCCACTATCGTGAAGTGTTATCGTGAATCCCCTGAGCAACTGGGGCTGCATGAAGATGATGTCGCCAACCTCATGGCCAAGCGCAATAAGTTGGTGGAAGAAAAGAAGGGCCGCGAGCGCAAGATCAACGACCTCAGAAATACTGTGATTTCTCTTTGGGATCGCTTTGGTGTTGAGGATGCTGATCGCAAAGCATTCCTGGCTGCAAATCGTGGCTGCGGTTTGCGCACAATAAACGACCTGGAAGAGGAATTGACTCGCCTCAACGAACTTAAGAGACAGAATCTTCACCTATTTGTGGAGGATGCTCGCTGCCGACTGCAGGAACTTTGGGACACACTCTTCTTCTCCGAAGAGGAAATGCTCGACTTCACACCTGCATTCTCCGATGTGTGCAGTGATGCTTTGCTCGAGGCTCATGAGGCCGAAATCGCACGACTGGAGGCTCTCAAGGAGCAGCGCGCTCCTACCCTCGAAATGATTGACAGGCACCGCACTCTGCTGACAGACCGCGAGGCACTTGCAACGTCAAGCCAAGATGCATCCCGGCTCATGGGCCGCGGGAATAAGGGAGAGAAGCGTGATCCTGGAAAGCTGTTGAGAGAGGAGAAGCTGCGCAAGAGAATCGCCAAAGAATTGCCGAAACTTGAAGCTGACCTGCGGAAAGAGTTGGAACACTGGGAAGACGAATTCGGCCGACCATTCCTGGTGCACGGAGACCGATATCTTGATGCCTTGACACCTGTCAGATCAATGCTTCCACCACGCTCAAAAACACCGTCTGCACCACCATCGTCTACTAAAGCAAGCACAATGAGACAACACCCGCCTCCCCGCCCTGGAAGCTCCATGAGAGGCCCGCCTCCCCCCCGTTCAGCCACCAAGACCCCCACTAGCAGTGGCCCAGTTAAACACAACACCATTGGCTACGGGGCCTCTAGATCTGGAGCTACCTCAAGAGCCGGTGCAACATCCCCTTCAAAGCTTCCCGCCCGTGTCCCGCTGGGAAACATGCCGCATGGAAACAACTCCCCTGAGCGTCGTATGCAACCTGGCGCCTACTCATCTAGCACGCTTAATGGCAAGATGCCGCCCCCGCGTGGACCTCCCCCCACGGATGCGTGCGTTAACGGTCGAGTCAAGGGAAGACCGCTTTAGTCACCTTATGGAGCCGCCTCGCTGCAACAGCGCTATGTCTAGTGCCTATGTGCGGCCAGTTAGCCCGGAAGACGTCTATGATGACCGGCAGCGATCCTTCATGAGCGCGTCAGGATTCTCAAACTCGCAAAGATCCACTGGATTCTCTCATTCATCTCACTCCTCACAGTCCTCACTGTCTCTGAACTCCTCTAGCCAAGCCTTCCCTCGACCCAACCCGTACCTGCAACATGCAGCCCCGCCCCCGGCTGCCCGTCAGGTCTCCAACTCCTCTACGGTCAATACTGCAACCTCTGGATCTGAAAACTGGGAGACTTTCGAGGATGGCTCGGAATCAGAAGCTGATCCCAGTGAAATTTACTATTCCAAACTGCGTGCTGCACACGGAGGAAAGCGATTTGCACCCGAGGATGGAGCGGACCTCGCTGGCAAGAAGGCCAAGGGTATCCGCAGTGTCAGTCCAGATGGTCCACATCCCGGGCAGGTCCTGCGCGTTGCTGGCAGTGACAACGAGTGGGCCGATGACTATGAAACCTACTAGATGCCGCGACATTGTCTTCCCTCCTCATAATGCATCTCGTCTTTTGCATCTCATTTCTCGGCGCCTCGGATGTTCAACGGTGGTCACGGAACCGTTGACCCTTGATGATCCCACGACTGGATTCTGCACGGCTCATGATAAACCTTGGCTTTCCTTTCACGACTGAGCTCCCTTAGATCCCTTACGGGCAGTTTTCTTCTCCACAAACGCTAATTCCCGAGGGGCCGACTTCAACTTCTCTTCCTGTTCAAAATTACGAGTTTATCATGTCAATCTCGCTCATGCTCTCTTTCATTTGTTCGATGTTATTGAGCCCAACCCTGCACCTGACTGTGTTAGGCTGCAACCTTTTGAGGATTCCTGTCATTCACGCCTTCCTGGGCTGACACCCTCGCTGTTTCAAATCCCACTGCGTTTAATCTTCTACTTTTTCTAGTCCTCTTGGCATGGTGTTATTTTTCTTCGTTTCCCTGTCACTTATGGTTTTTTTCTTGGCTTGGTGCTTATGGCTCGTTTATTCCCTTTTCGATCTCCGGTTTTGGGAGTCGGACTTTGTTGGTTTTCACCGTTTTTTCTATGTATTTGTCAGCGAAGTATAGTGTTTTGATATAAGTGTAGTGTTGTTAATTTTACTCTCTGATTCTCCAAGCTTCCTCAATTGTTAGCCGTCCACTGGACCAAGGTAGTTAGTTATGACTTGAATTGCCTGGACAACAAGATAAGATATATAATATCCCTGCTCACAACGGACTCCGTACGGAGTTGCGTTAGCGGTGTTCCAGATGTCGTTATCAGGCTACCATCAAAGCCCCGGGCCTTTTTGGGGGCTCAATTCCATCTCTCTTAAATCCAGGGTCAAAAGCTTCTCCAACAAGAACCACACACCGAAGACCACAGAGGTGCGATGGCGTCGATCGGGGACACATGTGACAGCCTCTTTGGGCCTGTGGTTAGTCAATATGATTGTCGTGGAGGGTTTGACTTTACAGGTAAATGTTTCCGATATCTTGGGCACCTGGGTAGTCTCACACATATACTAACATTGTAAGCAAGTTCTATTCGAGGCATGGATATTTGACATTACCCCAGCAGCTTGTTTTCTTCTGTTGTTACCCATTCGCCTATTCCAGCTATCCAGAGAGACTGTGAAAGTAAAGTCCTCATCGACTCATCTGGCGACGCTGGTGAGTCTTACTCTCTATCAGTGGTCCGAGCAGCTGAAACATCTAAATAATGCTCTATACAGGCGATCGCGACAGTATTGGCAGGCATCCAATTCCCTCTGCTTGTCTTTAATGCAACACAGCACTACCACGCACAACATGTGTCAGTGGCGGGTGTTACCCTCGGCCTTATAGTGGCGGTTTCCATTATTGTTCTGCTTCATTTGGAGCACAGCCGGGCTGTTCGTCCCTCGTTCCTTGTCTCTGCATATCTGTTTATTACAGTGCTTCTAGACATTGCGCGAGTGCGGACCGCCTGGCTGTTACCATATGGTAGAGCATATCCAGCCTGCCTCACTGCGTCTCTGGTTATCAAGTTGATCCTCCTGGTGCTGGCGAATGTTGAAAAGCGCAAATTGTTGTTGCCGGCCGAAAAGACTCAGTCTATCGAGAGTACCAGTGGCCTCTTTAATCGGGGCTTGTTTGCCTGGCTCAATGAATTGTTGAGAAAAGGACATACCTTCCTGCTCACTGGTGATACGCTACCTAACATCCACGAGAAATTGTCATCTAGTGATTTGTCTGACCGATTTTCAAAGTCATGGGCGCTGTCTGATCAGAGTCGTCAACATGCATTACTGCTGGCTATAGTTAATTGCCTTCGCTGGGATATTGCTGCTATTGCTCTCCCTCGACTCGCCCTGATTGGATTTAGCATAGCGCAGCCATTTCTAGTTGGCAAAACTGTCACATTCCTCGAACAGACTGATTCTTCGGTGAATATTGGCTATGGATTAATAGGAGCCACCGCAATCGTCTTTATCGGGGTTGCTGTAAGTCTTTATGTCTTTAACCAGCTATCTAACTCTACCCCATAATTATTGACCGATTCACCTTTGTGATCCAGGTCACTACGGCGTCTTATCAGCACCTAGGATTCCGTGCTACGACCATGGTCCGCGGTGGCCTTATGGCTCTTGTCTATCAGCACATGATGGATCTGCCATTAGGGAGCACCGATGAGTCCAGTGCCATGTCACTTATGGGGGCTGATGTTGAAATGCTTGCGGAGTACTTCCATTCTACAGTGTGCGAATCCTGGGCTAGTATCATACAGCTGGGACTTGCCGCTTGGATCCTCCAGACGCAGATCGGTGTTGTCTGTATCACACCCATTTTAATTGTAACAGGTATTTTCTCTAATTCTTCGCATTAGTGATGGTCACAATATAGTATTAACAGAATGGCTAGCTTTTACCGCCGCTTCCTTTACAATGGGTAATGCTGTGTCCATTCGGCAGAAGACATGGCTACAAGCTACAGAGAAGCGCATCAATTTCACCAGCCACGTCCTTGGCTCAATAAAAAATGTCAAGTTTCTAGGACTAACAGAGATGATAAAGAAATCCATTGAAGGCTTGAGGATTGACGAGCTTGAGATATCTAAGAAGTTCCGCCGAATCCAAACTGTCCGTGTCTGCATGAGTACGTAGTGTTGCACATCCCCATTGAACACCGGGATCATACTGACAGCCCCTTTCAGTAAACCTTCCAACAGTTATTGCACAGTTTGCCACCTTCGCGACCTATGCTGTGGTTGCAAAGGTGCAAGGGTCTGATGGTCTTTCTGTCTCGCAAGCTACTACGGCCCTTTCACTGATAAATCTGCTGATCACCCCTCTCATTCATCTACTGTTAGCAATCCCAGACACATTCGCCTCAATAGGATGTTTGTATCGAGTCCAGGACTTCTTAAGACGTCCAAGTATTGTTGGTGAGTACTCCAATACGTGTTCCACCGAGCAAGATATACAGGGAATTAACCTCATTTATGCATATGCATAGAAAGAAGAAAATTACACGAACCGGAAGGAGATACTCCTGCATCTACTACTGAATCACCTACCAATTCATCCGAGGTCGAACTTTCCAACTATTCTCGGCTCGGGGCTAGGGGAATTTCCTCGTCAGAGAACGAGTCCGATGTCTTGATCTCCCTGCAAAATGCCCGGTTTGGCTGGAATAACTCTCCATCAGATAGTGCTGGTGTCACACTCAACCTGAGCCCCTCGCCCTTGGGTACTCTAGTTGCGATTGTCGGTCCCGTGGGAAGCGGAAAGTCAACGTTCCTCAAAGGTCTCGCAAATGAGACGTCCGTTCTTGATGGCGAAGCTTTCATAAAGTACCCAGATCTGGCATTTTGTGAGCAAGCTCCGTGGCTAACCAATACGACAATCCGGGAAAACATCATTGGGGAGAATAAATCCGCTGCATTTGACGCTGATTGGTACTCGACCGTGGTGAGCGCATGTGCGCTGGATTCTGATCTCAAGAAAATGCCAGCGGGCGATGAAACGCCAGTGGGTAGCAAAGGCTCTAAACTTAGTGGAGGGCAAAAGCAAAGAATTGTGAGTGCGAACTATGCTTCCATCCATATGAGCGAGGAATCTGGTCTGGAAATAATAACGACGGGGACGTCAACTGACTTTATCATAGGCCATAGCGCGAGCTGTCTATGCACGCAAGCGGATTGCATGCTTCGATGATACCTTGAGTGCTCTTGATAATTCAACCTCACGACTGGTGTTTAATAATGTCTTTGGCCTGTCTGGACTGTTACGTCGACTTGGCTGTACTGTGTTCCTCGCGACTCATAATGGTGCGCCCCTTAACCCTTATCTTGTCACCTGTAGTATATGCTGACCATTAGTAGTTCAATACCTACCCCAGGCTGACTTTATTATTGTACTCGGAGAGGATGGTAATATTCTGGAGCAGGGCAGCTTCTCTCAGCTTCGCAGTCACGCCGGAGGATATGTACACCGGTTGGGGATCCAACTAGGACAGACCGAGAAAGAAGAATTGCATGATCTCAATACAATTGAGCCACCGGAGACTCTTGAAGTCATAACAAGCCGCATGTCCACACCGGCTTCTACCGATGAAAGCCGACAGACGACTGATATTGCTGTTTACAAGTACTATTTCTCCGCGATGGGCTGGTTCCGCGTCAGTGTGCTGGTTTTCTTACTGGCGGTTAATGGTGGCATTGGTGGACTGCGCAGTATGTCAACTCCACTAGTAGTAAATGTCGTATGATGCTCATTTTTGTATAGGTGCTTGGATTGAGATGTGGTCCTCTAGCACTGACAGCGCTTCAAGCTCGGGATTGGGTTACTGGCTTGGAATTTATGGGGCATTGTCCTTTATCGAAGCTGCTTCAATGGCTTTTTCGGTATAGTAAGTGAAGGAGGCTTCTTCCTTTCGTTCAGACTTCCATGCTAATCGAGTTTCATCTGTAAGTTGGACCTGGGTTGTCATTGTGCCGGCCGCGTCGAAAAATGTCCATGCTACGGTATTGGAAACTTGCATGAGGTGAAATTCCTAATTCCTCACCAACCAAAATACCAGATAGCTAACATATTTAGTGCTCCTTTATCCTTCCTATCTCACGTAGATACGGGCTCTCTCATCACGCGTTTCAGCCAAGACATGAGACTAGTGGATATGATTCTACCTCGAGGTTTTATCTCCACAGGATTCCGTAAGTGCACTCATAATACATCATGTTCTCCGACTACTTTGAGTGGTTCTGACTTGAGCCACATCAAGAAATTGTTGGGGTGCTTGCACAAGCCGCGGTTGCTATAGCTGCATTGCCCTATATGGCTTTAGCCCTACCATTCCTAGTTGGGATGTTAGTGCTAGTCCAGCGCTTTTACCTGCGCACATCTCGCCAGTTACGTCTTCTTGAGTACGTTTTCCCGCGTTAAATATGCTTCAATTTAATTGATCATTATGCTTTTGCGCAGTTCAGCAAACTGATAAACCAGCAGGATTGAGCTCAAAAGCCCCCTTTACACCCATTTCATTGAATCTCTTGCCGGCATCGTTACCATCCGTGCTTTTTCATGGACTACCGCTTCTACGTCCAAAATGCTGCACTTACTCGATAGGTCCCAAAGGCCCTTCTATCTCCTGCTGTGTATTCAGCAATGGCTCGGCTTGGTACTAAAGCTCATGGTGACCGGCATGACGGTCGTTCTTATCGGGACTGCTGTAGCTCTACGCGGAAAAGTGAGTCCCGGTCTATTGGGTATTGCGCTGATTGGGATGATGGATCTGGGAGAATCGCTCTCAGAACTGATTCAGAACTGGACCCTCCTGGAAACCTCTTTGGGTGCGATTGCCAGGATAAAGGAGTTCTCGGAAGATACCCCAAGTGAGGAACAAGATGCAGCCTATGAGCAGCTGCCAGACACAGAATGGCCAAGTAAGGGTGATATCTCATTCGCTGCCGCAGACATTGCGTATGAGTCTGAGAACGCAGAGCCCGTGTTGCACAGTATTCTTTTGGAAATTCGTGACGGGGAGAAAGTTGGGCTGTGTGGTAGGACGGGAAGGTGAGAAAATACACTTCTGTAGAGGCGAGGAGAGGCTGACTCTTATAGTGGCAAGAGCACCCTTGCTCTATCACTACTCCGTCTTAACGAAGTGGTTTCTGGCCAGATCTTTATTGACGGAGTAGATATATCGACAGTTCCTCGGGCATTGATTCGGCAACGGATTAGCTCTCTCAGTCAAGAAGCCTTCCTTTTCCCAGGTACTATTCGGCAAAACGTCGATCCTTTAGGTGTCGCCAGCGATGATGATATCATTGAAGCTCTCAAATGTGTCGAAATTTGGAAAGCTCTTGTGTCTGCGACGAACAGCGACACCGACAGCGGAGTGTTGTTAGATGCAATACTGACCGACACAAGTTTGTCCGAAGGTCAAAAACAGCTATTTTGCCTAGCAAGGGCGCTTCTCAAGAGAAGTAATATCCTGATACTAGATGAGCCGACAAGCAGGTATGTGATTTCTTCACATCCCTTTGTTTTAGCAATGCTAACCGTTCACAATCAGCTTGGATGCAGAGACGGATGCCAAGGTCCAGAAGGTCATTCGCCAGGAGTTCCAGAACTGCACTATCATTATGGTTGCGCATAGAGTGCATACGATGCTCGATTTTGATCGAGTTGTTGTGCTGGATAGTGGTCGGATCATAGAAGAGGGACATCCCTCGGAATTGCTGGCGAACAAAGGCGTGTTCTCAAGCCTGCATCATCTAGAGCAGTCAACAGGACGTGAATAGGAGCTCTGATTGATCGGGTCTCATGAAGTTGTAAACAGAGACTTTAGCTATTGAAATGAACTACAATACACAGGAATACGTTTTTTCTTCTATATCAGTCAATCAGTCACTTCGTGCCAGAGACTGAATCGTAGAACAAGGTAGCCGCTCATCATGGAGTTAAAATACATATTGAGATTGGGTTATATCAAATACAGCTATAGTACAGTCACTCGATCTTCTCATTCTACATTACCGGCCAGTCGCAAGAGATCCCATCCAACTCTGATCCTCAGGCAAAGTTCCCTTAGGAACTCTTTGGCCAGCAGAAGGAACCAAGGACTGTGTCAACGCCTTGGCGTCCTGCACTCGGCGAAGTGTCTCATCTCTCCCGAGAACTACCATAGTCTCTGAGATACCAGGGCCAGGCGCAGAAGCCGACAGCGCCCAGCGGAGGTAGTGATACAGCTCCTTCTTGAATATTTTGGTTGCGTTATTGGAACTGGCTGGTGTCTCTGACTCAGACGCGGATATGACTATGCATTCTGAGCCATCGTAGCTGTTAATGTTGTCGCGGTGCGTGTCGATATTCCAGGCCGCGGGTGGGACGAGGGTTAGAGCGGCTGCTGCGGTGTGCAGGGCTTGGATTGGGACTTCTGGGGATGACTGGGGCGAGGCCGGTTTGTAAGGGGCTCTGTTGAGTTTTGAAGTAAAGAAGATGGAGTTGCGCTGGGCGAACTCCTCAGCGTTTGTGTAGTTGTTGACATCTGCGCGGATAAGGGGCGCGATGTATTCGGAGAGAGTGCGACCTTTGAGGATTGTGGTGCTGCTAGATGTCAGTTATTAAGTACCACGTAATCTACGCATGGGCTTACAGCTGATGGCTGACTTACAGTTTGTCGAGAGAGTGGCTTTCTTCCACCACCGAGGTCACCTTCTTCACCATCTCGTCGAACTCAGGACCGCCACTTTTGACCAAGCGTTGGACATGTGCCTTCTGGAGGAACTGGAGTTTTTCAAAGGAGACGACAGTGTTGCCTCGGGTGATTTTCAAATTGAACTGGTGATATTGTTAGCAGTTAAATTATGGTGTTTTTGCGAGACCGAGAAAAACATACAATCTGTTCAAGTTCTTTCAGACTGAACACATCAGACTTTTCGGAATGCGACCAGCCTAGGAGTGAAGCAAAGTTTACCAAGGTGGATGGGAAGATTCCTTGCTGATCCTTGAATGACGAGAGGTCAATGTCCGCATTGCGCTTGCTGAGCTTTTGTCCACTCCGGTCAACGAGCAAAGGGACATGAGCAAAGCTTGGTGGCGTCCACTTGAAGGCATTATATAGCGCCATGTGCATAGGTGTAGATGCCATCCATTCCTGGTAGACGTTAGTTCCGTATTTGTTGAATTGATAGCCACAAATATAATAATAAAACTCACTGTTCCTCGGATAACGTGAGTAATCTTCATGCAATGATCATCCACGACATTTGCCAAATGGTATGTGGGGTGTCCATCCGATTTGATAAGAACTGGGTCATTGTATACGCGGTCGATGAAATCCAGCTTTGAGTTGTTTGGTCGATTTTGACCAGATTTGCCATAAACCAGATCAGTAAACATGGGGCATTCCTCCGCTTTTAATCGAATAATGTGTGCTTCTCCCTTGGCTGCTCGGTCTTCGGATTCCTCAGCAGATATATCGCCACATTTCCGGTCATAGCCAGGCGCCAGTCCTGCCTGGCTGCGGTGACGGGCGATCGAATCCAATCGTTCTGCGGAGCAGAAGCATCGGTATGCATGTCCATTGGCGATAAGGTCATTGGCGTGCGATTGATATAAAGCTGTTCGTTCGGACTGCGCGGCAACAAGGAGTTAGGAATTATTTGCTTTGCGATAAATGAGTGAGGTCTCACTTGTCTATAAGGTCCATAGGCACCACCAACGACGGGACCTGCCAATAAAGCGAGAGTCAGCGGTTTCCCTCAATTTTTGTGTGTGTCTCAAACCGACCTTCATCCCAATTTAATCCTGCCCATTTTAGATCATCGTAAAGTCGCTGTTCTGCCCCGGGAATCGTCCGTTTCTACCATAATCAGTCGGAGTCCAAGCAACGGAGCGCAACCCACAAACCTGGTCCGTGTCCTCAATGCGCAACAGAAATTGACCACCGGTACGTTTTGCTAGCAAATAGTTGAAGAGTGCTGTCCGTAGGGAGCCTAGATGAAGGTATCCAGTGGGTGAGGGCGCAAAACGGGTGCGCGCAGGGCCATTTGGCAGTTTGTTTCTCGAATTATGTGCGCGAGCAGCTGGAGAAGAGGAAAAGGCTCTGCATTGAATAGTGCAAGTTCTGGCAAATAGCCCTTGGGAACTTCTCATTATGAAACAGTCGTGTGTTAAAGCAAAGGAATGGCCGATCTCTTTGAGATGTTGCGGAGTTGCGGAGCTGCGGCGCGGAGCTCCCGAAACAAAATTTCACAAACTTCTTTGGATCAACAGCTCCCGCTCTCACTTCTCGTTCATCAACCTTTCTTGTTTGCCGTTGGACTCAAGTTGACGGCCTCTTTCTACATAGGAAAAGTCCGATCGAATTTTATACAACTAATCACTGATAAGTACGTTGGAAAGTCGTGTTTTTGTTTTGACTCTACTAACAATGTGTTCAGTGGCTACGGCTGGAGTTGACCTCTACGGTATGTTTTGCGCAGATCAACTATACAGAAGATATCATATTGATCAGTTATTCATTTATACAGAGGTCCTAGAGATTCATCAGAGCTCAACTAAAGATGACATCCGCAAGGCATACCGCAAGGTAAGACGAACCCAGAGCATCTCTGTATTCCAGCGACACTGACAGTTGGCTTTCCAATAGGCGGCCTTGACGAACCACCCCGACAAAGTCCCCGAAGCCGAGCGCGAGGAAGCCTCAATCAGGTTCAAGGCTGTGCAAGAAGCCTACGATATTCTATACGATGATGACAAGCGACACCTCTACGACACACACGGCATGTCTGCCTTCAACGGCTCGGGTGAGCCTGGCATGGCAGGTCAACCTGACCTGGATGACTTGCTGGCACAGATGTTCGGTGGTGGCATGGGCGGCATGGGGGGTATGGGCGGGATGCCTGGCATGGGAGGAATGGGAGGAATGCCCGGTGGCCGCCCCAACAAACCGCGCAAGAGCCCCAGTGAAGAGCAAGACTACGAAGTCAGCCTGGAGGATCTGTACAAGGGGAAGACCGTTAGGTTTTCCAGCGTCAAGAACATCATTTGTGGACATTGCAAGGGCAAGGGTGGCAAGGAAAAGGCTACTGCCAAAAAGTGCTCGACTTGCGGTGGCCATGGCCACAAGGAGGTCTTACAGCGCATGGGCCAGTTCGTGACTCAACAGACGGTTGTCTGTACCACATGTAACGGAGATGGCTCGTACTTCGCCCCGAAGGATAAGTGCAAGAAGTGCAAGGGCACAAGAACGACCGAGGCGAAGAAGATCCTGGAGATCTACATTCCTCGAGGCGCGAGGTAAGATTGCTCTTTTTTTTCTATTATCTAACAGAATCATATACTCACTGTGTTCTAGGGAAGGAGACCGGATTGTGTTGGAAGGCGAGGCTGACCAAGTGCCCGATCAAGAGCCCGGCGACATTGTTTTCAAAATCATCGAGGAACAACACCCCGTGTTTGAACGGGCCGGCTCGGATCTCCGCGCAACTATTGATATCACTCTTGCTGAATCCTTGACCGGATTCTCCCGCGTTGTGATCAAGCACCTCGATGGCCGTGGCATTGAGCTTAACCACCCCCTCACTGCCGGCGCCATCCTGTCACCGGGACAAGTTCTCAAGGTTCCTGGAGAGGGAATGCCGATGAAGCGTACCGATGCCCGTGGCGACCTGTACTTGGTTGTTGACGTCAAGTTCCCCGATAACAAGTGGAAGCCTACCCCCGAGATGCTAGAGAAGCTCAAGGAAATTCTGCCTAAACCTAGCGCTCCCATCCAGGCCGACACCACAGATGAAGTTGAATACGATCCCAAGGGCCAGATGGAAGATTTCGGTGCGCAGGATGGCCAGGGTGCATCAGCATGGGAAGACGAGGAAGATGATGATGAACCGGCGCAGTGCGCAGCTCAGTAGAGTTATTCTTGCATAGACGGCGTCTGGGGCTTTGTATTAATAGGGGATCTGTGAATAGAACAACCCTCCTGATTCCAAAGCACATTGTAGATTGGTGTACACCAATGTAAGGCATAGGAAACAGGTTTCACTCATTCCGGGGTGGATCAGTGTGGATAGCGTGGGGGTGGTCATTATATATATCCATATAGATATTCAACGTATCCCAAAGCTAAATCCGAGCCGCAATGCGAGGCGCTGTAGTCGGCCCTGGCATCACTCGGGTTTGATGTCCTCTTAGGCTTGTCAACCTAGTCTCTACAGTATATAGTTCCTTCATTGAAACCCCCCACTAAAAACCCGACGTGCAACACCAAATTATCCTGCAAAGGTTGTTCGTGCACCATCCACGTATTCTCGGCAACTGAGACAAGATTGGGTCCCACATCACTCTACTCCCGAATATGCAGCCCGCTGGCGAATTCTTGGGAAAAGAATCTTCCTGTGCCAGTGGACTCCTTACTATCGTGGCAAAGTTACTAGATGCGGGAAAGCCATGCCTAGATGAATTAACTTGTAACAAAAAGACCGTGGAGCAAACCGTGTGTAGCAAACACACCTGGAACCCATAGATCATCCGGGCGTATACATGCCAGATTCGTGCATCTAAAAGACACCCTCTTCAACTTAGGGATCATGAAGACATGGGTTATATCACCAGCTTTTTAGCACAGATTCTGCGAGAGTCTAAACAACCTCAACATCTTCGGGGGTGTCTGCCATTGTAGTTTTTGATGAAACGAAAAATTACAGCCGTCTTGACGACTCCGTGGCAATAATTTAGGGCACGGCTACTGCGGCAGAAAATTACCTCGCTTCCCTGCATCGGTGACGGCTGCCAGTCCGGCACGTCTAGCTCGCTTTCTGTCCCGAATGCAAGCCCCGAAACAGCAGTTGGTGGGAACCTTGCGCTTCTTCATGGCGGTGATCGGTTACGGGTAGATTGAATAAGCGTGGTGAGAATCGCACGGTTCGAGGCGAGCCAAACGCCGAGATAAGAGATCTTGGCGAGGAGATTAATCAGTTGATCGAGGGTATTGCTCTGCGTGACGGTGTTAAGTACCGCGTGGGGAGCCCCAGCATAGCCATCGAGGTTCGTACTGGTTATATGAGGAAGATAAGCGGCTGTGGGGAATTCAGGCTAAATGCGGGAGATAATGAACAGCGCAATGCCGGTAATCCGAGGCTCATGAGGTATTCGAGTCAATGATTAGTCCACATTTGAGCATATATCCCTTCATAGGTACCCGTGTCGATGGCCGTGTCGGTGGCCATGTGGGATAGTATCGGCAATCGAACGCCGCTTTATGGGAAGAGTTTATGGGAAGCTGAGCCCGGAATCGGAAGCCTTGGCAGATAATGTCAAAGATTGCCACTTATCAACCTTGGAAGTCCACCTAAGTAGTCACTACCTAGGTTAACCACCAAAATGAAGAATGAATAGAGCAATATAGTGCTTGTATTGGAGAGAGTGAGTTGTTGGAGGAAAGGCAGAGCAAAATGAGAGGAAAAACAGAGGAAAGGCAGGGGAAAGGAGAGAATTCCTCGGCTATGACAGATAAGTGTAGGATAAGTCAATGCTCCGTAGGTTTGCCGAGCAACACCCCCGAGCACCGCCGTACTTGGCTGGTTTCCCTTAGTGGGAATGGTGTAACCTTATTTATGGAATATAATTTCTCCTGACATTCCAAGGTTCATGCAGATGTGGATATACCTGGGCAGGATGGACCAAAGGGGGGATGAGATTTCTCCACGATACTCCACAGTTACTCCACGTGTCGGCATTTGAACCCCACGGTACGATGGATCCGGGGTACGCTTTCCCCAGCAATTAGAGAAATTTCCAAAGGTATGAGCTCAATTCCAAGGTTACTCGACTTAGTATGCGGAGGTCGCGGTCTGTGCCCTCAGTATTTCTAGGGCTTTATATATCTGATCCTTCTTGCCCTCGATACCTTTCTTCCTCACTTCATACTCAGGGAGCCTGAACTGCAAAATGGGCATATTCAAGAATAGTCGCGTCTACGTGCTAGCCACGGTGGCGTATACTGGATCATTCCTATTCGGTAGGACAAATCTCTCTTCCATTGGCTATCAAATACAGCATGCTAATATATTTCCCGGAAAGGATATGATACGGGTGTGATGGGAAGTGTGCTGGAACTGCCAAGTTTCAAGGCCGACTTTGGACTTCAAGAAGGAAGTTCGGGGTTCTCAGATGCCAAAAATGCTCAAGTCTCATCAAACGTCGTTTCACTTCTTACTGCCGGATGTTTCTTCGGTGCTATTTTCGCTTCTTTCGTCAATGAGAAGTTTGGCCGTCGTTATTCTATCATGGGATTCTTGATGTTCTTCCTTATCGGCTCTGCTGTCCAAACTGCTGCTACCAACTCGTTATCATATATGTACGGTGGACGTGTGATTGCAGGTTTCGGAGTCGGAGGCATGTCAGCCGTCACTCCAGTCTTCGTGTCTGAGAACTGCCCACCGGCGATTCGCGGTCGTATTGCTGGTCTCTTCCAGGAATTCCTCGTCATTGGTGTCACCATTGCATACTGGCTTTGCTATGGTGTCGCGGAAACAATCGCCCCCACAACTATGCAGTGGCGCATCCCTATTGGATTCCAGCTGGTGCCTGGTGGTCTTATGATGATCGGCTTGTGCTTTTTGACTGAATCTCCTCGTTGGTTGGCCAAGGAAAATCGTTACGAGGAAGCCCTCAACGCCCTTGCATATATGCGCTCCGAGCCAACTACCAGCCCTGCCGTTCAGACTGAGATGGCCGAAATCAAAGCGGCCGTTGAACATGAAGTCGAAGCAACCCAGGGACTTACTTGGCGGGAACCATTCCTGCCCGGAAACCGCATTCGCTTCATCAACTGTTTCCTCATGATGTTCTGGCAGCAGTGGACGGGTACCAACAGTATCGGATACTATGCCCCTCAGCTGTTCCAGACCGTTGGAGTGGCCGGAGGCAACACCAGTCTATTCACAACTGGTATATATGGTATCGTCAAGGTAGTGACCACCGGAATCTTCCTCATTATTGGTATTGACAAGGTTGGTCGACGGTGGTCTCTTATTGCTGGTGCCATTTGGATGTGCACGATGATGTTCATTCTGGGTGGTGTTCTGGTGTCCTATCCTCCGGACCCTAGCGGTGACGGTGCTATTTCGTCTGCATCTCTCGCTATGATCGTCATGATTTACTTTTATGTCATTGGTTACTCCGCATCGTGGGGACCGATTCCATGGGTTTACATTTCTGAAATCTTCCCAACCCGGCTTCGTGCATACGGTGTTGGCTGCGGATCGGCAACCCAATGGCTCTTCAACTTTGTGGTGACTTATGTGACTCCCGCCGCTATCGGTAACCTTGGCTGGAAAACATTCATAATGTTTGGTTGTTTCTGCTTCGCCATGGCCTTTTGGGTTTTCCTCGTCGTCAGGGAAACCAAGGGTCGCTCTCTCGAGGAGATGGATGTCCTCTTCGAGAAGTTCCATGCCTTTGGCAGATTGCGTGATATTGAAACCGCAAACGAAAGGAAGCTTTCATATGATGGCGCTGTTACTTCCGATCACAAGGAAGTACAGGGCGTTGAAGCTGAGGATCGTGCGACGAGATGAGATGATTTTGGAATATGTTGGGGGTATACTTTGGATACCCATCTTATGTCTAGTCGGGTTCAATTTGAATTCTGTATATAAGCCTAACTAGTCATTTTGATCGAAGTTATCTGATACATTCAGTGCCCAACGTTTGTTGTATCTTCTTAATATTCGGCGAACCCTTTGATAGACTAACTGACAACCGGATCGCCCAACTTGCAGGGCCGAGTAGTTGAGCGGCGTATGACTTCCAACTCATTCCAGAATAGCCATTCCCCGTATTACATATGGACGAGGACTGAGCATAGCCGACGGAAGTCGGCAATCGGAAAGTTGGATCTGCAATGAAGCGCCGTCGGCAACGCTAGGACAGTCATTATTGATCCGCTTTGACGTTGGCATATGAGTGCATATCAAGATAGCAGAGCAATACCACCAAAACAGGTGCTCTGATACATTAGTACAGATGCCACGCCTGAAAACCCAACAACAATCTATACATCTTCATACTTCGCATATAAGAGAGAGAAAACCAAAACAAGCATTCGCACAAGCATCTATTGACACATAGAAGTGTTTGAAACAATTCCCAGCCATATAACTCAACCTGGAACCCTGGTCTATCCAGCCGGGTTCGCACAAGTGAAAGGGGTGAGTTTACCCGACTTGAAATCCTTGTTCATGGCAGTGACCGAAGCCCAAATTCCCAGGCCAGCAGCGGACAATGCAGAAAGCGAGTAGATTACATCGAAAGTGTTCCGAATAAACTTCTTCTTGTAACCTCTAATCAACCGCTTGATTCCATTGTCCACGCGCTGTACTTGGCCAGTTGTGGAATTGAACTCCTCTTCGGGGAGTATCGCATCATTCTGGACATTGAACCCAACCAGCAACAGTGGTGGGAATGTGTAAGAAAACCGCAGGATGCAGGCGGCTCCCACAAATGATGTTAGATTGCTGATTTGTGGAATTGCGGCGGCAATAATCCAGGCGAGAGTCCAGTAGACAGGCACTAGAGGTATTCTTAATATCTGTGTACACGCGGAGCCTTGGGAGAACTAGATATTAACTTACCGAGCCCAACCCACAACCACTTGCCAGTTCGACTGTTCAATTCTGGGAAACGGAAGAGATCGCGTAGCACGGCAGAGTAGAAGACTTTAATGCCGATGTTGCCATACAGCAGTGCAGCGATGACACCGGTGATAAATGAGATGGCGTTGCCTAGAGTCTGGAAATTGTAGGCAGAATTTGGAATACCTGGTGTATGATTGTCAGTAATTTCAAGATCTCCCTTGGATGTTATGCCGCTCACCTTGGTAGGAAGGATTGAATGTAAACTGGCCCTGCGCACTGTACACAACCATGCCCGAGACAAGGTAGCAAACGTAGATGAAGATCTCAGCAATGATAAAGCCCTTCCAGAAGTCATATGGCCGTCTCATCTCAGCCATGAGCTCATTGAAGAGGGTTGCGCCGCCGTACGCGAACACGGCATTCATCATAGCATTGACTTTGTTGTCAAGAGTCGAACCCTCAGGCCAGTACCCGGTTGTCTTCACGGGTCCCTTTGGGGTACCGTAACTAGTCAGCGAAGCTTTGTAGTTAGGAGGATACTCATGAACCACAGCCATGGTCATGATAACGACGATAATATTCAGCCAGACCGCTATGTTAGCCAGGTAAGAAAGGCGTTGTAGGGTCCGAATCTGTCCGAGTATAAAGCCGATGACCATGAAAATAACCTGAGCAGCGATGAAACAAAGGAACCCTTTACCATTGGAACCAACAGCCATCTGTGCCAATCCTTGTCCATTGCTTACAATGAGCAGGGTCACATTGAGGAAGAACTGGAAGCTTTGTAGGACGTTCACGCCAATGCGTGCCCAGTTTCCGTAGACGCGGAAAGCCAAATCGCCATAATTGCGCATCGGGAATCGAGTGGAGTCAAGACCGACGAAGATTTTCCATAATTGCAAGCCAGAGTAACAAGCCATGGCGCCAAAAACAGTGTAAAGTAGAGCCCCTGGTCCAAAGCCCATCTGACTGATCGCCCAGGGGACATTGATCGGTCCAAGAATGTCTGTGGAAATGAGATAGAAGATCGAACCCCAGGTTGCAGTTCGTGCGGCCCTTTGTGCCTGTTCCCATTCTGACTCTGTAACACCCCAATCATCGGTTGTGCTAGGCTTGGCGCTGGGATCAGTCACAGTAGAATTCTGTTCCTGGGTGTCTGTCTGGATTGGCACTGGAGCATCCGACTTTTTCTTAAGAAGCTTCCTGAACATGCCCTCGAATCCCTCATTTTCGGTCAAAATATGCTTCTCAATCTCGCGTGACCGCTTGGCCCAGTGGATATAGTTCTCAAAGGTGATGCTACTATCCGTGTAGGTGGAGTGACTGGCATCAAAAAAGGTAGATGCGGGTTTGTAAGGAGGAGCAGAGTCGGTAGGCTCCTTGGTGTCCCTCTTTTCTCCATTCGGATAAGCATCGGCCTCAACACCTATAGTGCTGGAGATCTTGTCTGCCATGATGGTAATTGGGGTAATCACAAATTATGAAATAGAGATGCAGAAAAAATAGTGGGAGTGGAGGACAGAACTGTTCTCTTCATATACGGGGAGAACTGACAAAAAACATGTTGTCAACAAGAAATGGCAGTATCGCGTGCCAAACCCCTAGAAGCACTCGGATTGGACCTTCAAATTGCGCGGACCTTCTTCAGGACCGCTAAGCAATGGTCTGTCCAATATTTAAGAAGCGAGTTATCAGTCCGCAGCCATTAACCATGGACCCCAACGCCAAATGTAACATTGTCCCATATCTACCACCGGAGGACCAAAGCTTCGTCAGCGTGCGATTCCCGCAAGTGGCCACAGAGTTCAGCCATTGTTCCACCAGGAATCCACACAATCTTCGGTAAAAGCTTGTCTCAGAACCTTGGAACTCCGAACTGCTGGCAGCTCACGCGTGATGCCCCACACTGTTTTTGTGAGGTGCGGAGGTCCAACGGAGGCCGTCTTCCTTTTGTCTAAAGTACCGTGAGTGATTTATTTGCAACACGAAGAATATGATTGCGATGGAACGCTTACAGTCAGATACCGGATGAGCAGGGGCCATGAAGGTGACAACCCGCCTGCTGTATCAAGGCCGGTCCACTTAAATCATAGTAATAGTAATCTCCCTGGATCAGGCCATGGATTTGCCAATGGAATGCCATATGCCATAGTTCGAATGTCGCACTCGGAGGTGAATTGAGCCGAGTTGAGCCGACAAAGATACTGATTAATATTTTATGTAGATATCCGTCAATACCCAGGTGGCTGTGATAGTCATGTTTGACTATCTCCAATGACAACGAGGTTGCTCTTTCCTAAATTATATATAGCACTTTCTAAGGTTTCCGGTCCGAGGCCAAGAAAAGCTTCTCTTCCTAGCTTCTTTTACTAAACATGAACCTTCCAAGGTTGGAAGTACTATTACCTCCCGACCACGGGAGTAAATATCTCCGCATCTATGTCCATCTTTGTATTTACCTCTAATTCTATTTACAGTATTAATCTCACTAGGCACCCCGATCCAAGAATCCCGAAATCCGGAGATACATCTCCACAGGGTTAGAATACATAGGGAAATGTCCAGCGCCCACAATATCAGCCAACTCAACACCCTCCTTCTCTAACAACGGCAGATACGACAACCCACGCATCTCCTCTCCGAACATAAACATGCGCGGGCACGGCAATGCCAGAAACTTGTCCATCAAGTGCCCATGATCAGTCAACCGCACCATGGACTCAAAAATCGGCCGAACCGCAGCAGCCCGGACCCGGGCGCGCAGGGTGCTAGCATACATAGCATTGGCAAACGATCCCGATGTGCGCGTGCGCTCAATAAAAGCATCCATAAACGCCTCGTCGTCGTCAGCTGGGAACATGAAGATCTGGCGGCTGAGGAAGCAATCCTCCGGTGCGAGATTGCCTTTGATATTCACGAAGCTGAGGACACGGTCTGGATGTTGGTTTGCGAGGATGAGGGCTGTTAAACCGCCCATTGAGTGGCCTATTAGGTGGAATTTGTCTATGTTGAAGCGCGCGAGCAAGGCTTCAGCCGTCGCCACAAGGAACGGGATGTCTGTTGCGGAGAGGTTGTTGCTTGCTGAGTGGCCGCAGCCGGGAGCATCGTAGGCAATGAAGCCATGGTGTTTTAAAGATGGCTGGAGCGTTAGATCGGCGAGATCTTCTTTGCTGGAACCAAAGCCGTGGAGGAAGAGAATTGGTGGGTTTGAATTGAGTTTATGTATCGTTGATAGGTTGAGACTGACGCCTTCGACTGTGAGGGGGATACATTCGAAGGTGAGTGACATGATGAAATGAATGAATTTTATTTTCCAAACTTTTTACAATGGGTTTGCTTTATATTTGTATCTGTGATCTCGGGAAAAAATTCTCATGGATATTTTCAACGGTTCGGCGAAATGATATTTTCCCGCGATTTACTCATACAAGAGTCGCCACAGGCCGATTCACCTCATACCAATTATCCCAATTCGATTTAAGTCATCATAAATCCAGAGTTACATAAATACCTACATAGTCTCCGGTCATCGCTCCATGGACCTCACACTGGTCTAGTTTTCCCAAGCACTCTAGCAAATATTATAGGCGATTTTCAAGGGTCAACATCGACTCTCGACAGGAGGATCGGCAGTCCTGTGTATACGAGGAGGACATTTGCCCAAAGCGAGGGCTATCTCCGGGCTGCTCGGATTTGCTAGTCCATGGCCGTGGGACCATCCCACCGACTTCAATGGTCTTGGCCGTGGCCTCCCTCCAGCAGCGGACGAGAGAGCGGTGGAATCCGACGTTAAGAACAGAGTATGGCGCTGGCCGACCAGGGCTGGAATGACCGGGCGCTCAACAAGTCCATTTTGTAAGAGGATTTAGCATACATTTCCTCCGCCCTCTCCCTCCTCCCCCTCCTCCTTCCTCTTTATCTCCCTCATCCTTTTGATCCACCCCACGGTGTACTCATCAGGGTCCCAAGCAAGACGAAATGTGTTCCTCTCTTTGAGCTTCAGATTCACATATTCCTCCATGAGCTCCTTCTCTCCAGATTCCAAGAGATGAAGTCTCTTGCGCCATACATCGCAAATATTGTCGTCTTCATATATGGCAGGTCCGAAGAATCGCTGATCAATCTTTTTCCAATATATTGCGTCAAAGGCAAAATTGTTCCTTGCAGCGTACATGATCCAAAAGTCTCCGCTCTGCCAACTATCCCGCATCCGACTTGATAGCCGCTGGCCTTCCACTAGCCGTCTATCCTGGATTGCCTCATCTTCGCATTTCCGCATTGCCTCAAGAAAAGTCTGAAGCGGTTTTTCATACTCAATACACCAGTCATCGAGGCCTTTAGGCCAGTCTTCCGGCTTTTTGAGAAGAAGCCACCAAGGTGGTGCATGAGAAAATTCGACTGGGGCGGTATATGTAAACTCCCAATCCACCACTCCAGTGATGCTTTCAACTTCATCAACTAGAACATTTTCGGGTCGAAAATCGTCACACCAAACTGGAAACGGACCATTATCATGGAAAATCCATTGCTTCCTCTGCTCCTGGTCTCGGACAAGTCTCCGAAAGAGAAATCTAGCCACAAATTTGCGCCGGATGTCATCCGCTTCGACATCCGCTTCGACATCCGCCTCGACGTCCGCCTCATTCCTTTGGCTTATGAGGTGTGAGATGTGTAGGTCCGCTAGGGCTTCAAAGTACGACGACGCATTGTCGTACGTGTTAATCGGTAGTTTCGATCGGGGTAGCGTCCCCAGCTGCACAATTTCGTTCATTGAATAGGATAGGGGCCGGTGTAACACTTCCCACGTAGAATCATCATTTCTGTCAAGGGATCCAATTCGGTTCAATGAGAGTATAGACAAGGAAAGGACAATATAGGCTAGTTTTCTATAGAGAGATTCTAGCCTAGCCGGCTTGAGGTCCGGATTAAGTACCGGACGTTGGCCTCCTTGGCGTCCTGGCATCTCAAGAAGATCACCCATACTTCCCTTGTGGTGAATATAGTTCATGATGATGAAAGGACCTAAGTCTGAGGGACTCTCTTTTGTCTCTCCCCAGCGGAAGATGGTAGGCACCGGAATAAGGGTTTCATCTGAAGATTTTTCCAAGAGAAATTGCATGATAGAGACCTCATTGCGGATTTTTTCTTTAGGAAACATGATAGCGCCGGGCAGTGGGAACCGTATAACAGCGCAACAATTATTGGTGAACTTCATCTTAAAACAGGTATTAAAACCGCCTGTGTTGAGAAATTCGAAGAGGGCACACTCAAGATCGCTGAATTCTTCGGAAAGGATGATTCCAATATCATTGTAGATGTCCCCATTAGTGCGAAGAAGTTCTGGCCAGTCCTCCCAGATCTGGGTGCTTACTGCCCAGGCAACATCATCGTAAGGCTTACATTTGCGCATTTCGGGAATAATGAGAAAAAAGTAATTCGAGAAAAGATTAAAGATGTCTATGTTGTAGTGACTTTTTGTATGGAATGAATTGTTGGTGGTGATTGGAAGGACGTAAGGGGTGAACGATGAACCGTACCGAACCAGGCCATTTCACCAGAGACTACGGAGTATAGGCGAATAGAGTGAGTGAGATAAAACCATCTCACCTCGGCGGTCTCAAAGAAGGCCGATGATTCAAAGGGGGCTCGAGAGCATTAGAAAAAAACAGAAAAAAAATCATAAAGGTCATAAAGGCCGTGCATCGGGCTGCATTGCAAAATTGGCAAGGATTGGCTTGGCGATCGCCTGTAGCTGCGAGGCTCTGGACCAGGTGGCACGGCAAGGATTTTTAGGATTGTGATTATGCATGGACAGGGATATTCCGTCAAGTTTAGATAGTGATGAGCTTGTAAACATGCATGCAGTCATCACACCATATATTAGCTGTGCTGGTCATAGCGATGCTGATACATCAAGGACAATTTAAGGTCGTGGAAATAATGTTTCACTGGGAAATGAGAAACTAGACCATTGGCTTCGAATAGATCAGGCTGGAATAGAACTCGTCTTGTAAGCTAAGGATAACACCGAGCAGAAATAGTATAGGGCTGAACCACGAGAACAACTGCGCCACAAGAAATTTTGCAGCCTGGGAAATTTCCCGTCGGGAATGTGTGCCAAGTGCTCGAGACTTTAGTATTGAGTCAGAATAAGTTCCTATGAAACCGGTTGACTGCAATTGGGGGTAGCTATGACGCTGAAAGGGAAAGGGATCAGCCCCTAAAGAGGATAATAAGGGGAGAACGAAAAAATGCCGCGAGCCAAAAGGAGTCAAATGATGGGATTGCCAAGACTCGGCAGGTCCCGCACGTGAAAATCTCTCAAGTCAGCGGTTAGATAATCCACATTTTCAGCCATTTTCAGCCACTCGAAGACGACGGACAAAGTGCGGGAAAGTCCCGGGTTCTAGAGCCTGTGGCTTCTGGTCAAGAGGGTAAAGAGTGGGTCGATTGACTTTTTCCTTGTTCCACATCTGACCGCCAAATATATCCAAACACACATTCCTGATTTCGACTTTATATATATCTTCTACAAAAAATCACCATGGCGACATTCCTCCAGTTAAATGCCCAAGCTCTAACACACGCTCTTGTTGAGCTCTAACACCGGCCGGCCGTGCGTGTACGTGCTACTGCGTGTTGCCGATTGCTGCAAGTCCAAGCTCTTTTCAACCCTCCCTATTCGCCTACCGCCCACCATCCTCTTTTTCTCGTTATCAAAAAAACAAAGCTGTTCCTTCGGAGTAAAGCTGCAAGCTTATCATAACCCCCTTTTCCCGACTTAAAACACGCCAACCCCTACTCACCGCATCGATAACGAAAACACCCTGCTGTCGGGCCAGTGCTGTTTGAATTGGACATTCTCAACCAGTCCTTGCCTCAGATTACAACCCCGTGCCAAGTGTGATTGCATTCTTTGTCTTCTGAAAAGTTCTCAGGGGTCCTCCACCGAGCTTTGGTGAACGCCGAAGACACGTCAAATTCCCATCTCAACTTGGATTTTGACTGATATTTTATTATTTTTCCACCATGGCTGTCGACTTATAGCCAGCTCTAGCCCTTGAGACTTTTTGTACTTCAGTGCCGTTTCTATCTCAACTTGGGCTTCCCCCCGACTTTCGTGGACAAGTCATCCTTCCACATACCTTTTTTGATCTTGATACCATCCTCAATCATGGCCCCCAACCTCTTCCTCTGTGCGCGAGCCATCTTCTGCCCTACCTACTGGTTCCAGAAGGGCGAACGCGACAGCGGTCTCAAGGAACAACACTGGCAATCCCCCGTCCCGGGAACATACAAGTTCCTCCCGGGTCGCGGATGGCACCTCATCCGTCGGGATGGGTGCGAAAACGATGAAAAAGTCCCTGCTGCACTTGTCTACTGTCGCATCCTCCACCGTTACATGTTCGAATCTGAACTGGAGGAACGCTGCCGCTGGTTCGACGCCCCGCTGCACAAGGGCAGCCGCCCGGAAAAGCTGCGCTTTTTCCTCCTCGACGACGGCATTCACTGGGTCGCTGGCTGGGATGCCCAGGGCAGCTTCATCCTTGGCCCTTACCCCAAATGGTGGCTCGATGAAGATGGATACACCATGCGCCGCGGTGCCTCGCCTCCCACCAGTGCCAACGTGTCCCGATGCAGCAGTATCATTGCTGGCAAATTTGACTGAGCTTGTCTCAACCCACAAACACCGAGATTGTCAGATGACAATTCTCCTAATGATGATTGGAAATTCCGTCATACGTGCATACCCATTCTGTTGGCGCTTTTTCGTCATTGCGAAGCGATTTAGCGTGTCTCTTTGATTCTCATGATAACCCACAAAAGTTTATGGTTTCAGTTTCATATTTTCTTTGTCATAGCGATGGACTTGTTTTCAGGTTTCTTTTTGTTTGTCTTTAGATCTCAGGTTAGATTAGACTTTTAATGATCGAGGAGTTTCAATGATCCAGGAGTTTCAATGATCTACTTGATCTACAGGGCGCACGTTTTTGTCTTTTCTTCACATCGGCGTTTCACATTCCTCAGATGATTAATACCATACCAATCTACTTCGGGAGATGGACCGTTTCGTTGAGCTATATCGCTTATTCTTATTTCCTCTTGAATTCCTACAGGGATCATATGATCAATCTCGAGTCCAGAACCCCGACAATATTCCGAAAATTATACGACTGCCTTGGGATGCAAGGGGCTACCTATATTCCGATATGAGAACTATGTACAACCTTGGAAGCCCAGCCCAGCGCCCAACACCCACCTCACAATTTTGCCTCGGCTTTAACAAGCAACTTCTCCAAGCCCTGCCTAGTCCGCTCCTCCATCCCCGTCTTCCCAACCCGCATAGTCTCCCTCAACACAAAAACATGTGTATAAGTCCCAACCATCTTAACATCCTCCTCACCCTTACGGAAAATACCCACTTCCCAGGTAACGCTGGACTTGCTGAGCCTATTAACACGCAGCCCGACCTCTAGCAGATCCGGGAAGCGCACTGAGGCAAAGAAATCGGCGTGTGTTGAGACAATCAGACCTATTTGGTCTGCGCCGGCTGCTAGGTTCGACGGGGAGGGGAAGTTGGAGGGCTGGCCGTGAGTCGGCGCTGGGGTTGGGTTGTTCACGCTGAAGGGGTCCATGCCGCAGTGTTGGATTAGATATGTGTTCGCGATTGTGTCGAAGAGGTGCGTATAAACTGCGTTATTAAGATGCGCGTACATGTCGTTGTCGAACCTGTGTGTGTAGGTGTTAGTGTTAGTGTCGGTGTCTGGTAGGTTTGCGGGTGTCCGTTCGGAGTGTCCTGGTACTGACCATCGGGTCTGGTGTACTTGGTGGAAGCCATAGTCGCTGCGTTTGCGTTGCCTCTTGGCTTCAGACTCTGGGGTGGCCATTTTCTTCCTTTCCGATGGGATGGTCGGATTTGGTTCAAATGTAATTCTACAATAGGTTTGTTTATGCTTCCAAGCTTGAGATAACAAGAATGTTCTCCGCGTGGACCTCGGCATATCGGTGATTAGGTAATTTCGATGGGGGCGCTCCTCCTTTGATCCACTTCTTTCATCTGATCCACCACAAAGAAGTACAACATAACTAACTAGTTATATATTAAGCCTTTCATCGTATATATTTAGTAGTGTCTCCATCCGTACAAAGACCACAGCGTATGGTGTTTTATATATAATTGTATCCGCCATTCAATTCATTCTCTTTTCGACGGCCTTCTCAATCGTACACGCATCGGAAAATCGCGCTATAGTTCACCAACATGTCTAGAGCTGGACTTCAAGCGTTGATCCTATGCGGTCCTGGGACCTCATTTGGAACTCTTAATCAAGAGAAGACTCCGAAATGTCTTGCCCTGGTTGCTAACAGACCGATGATATATTACCCTCTAAAGTTCTGCGAAACATCACATATCAGTGGTGAGTTAAGACCGTTCAAATCTGAAATGGCATTTTGATTATTATGAAATTTATTAATTGTTTCAGATGTCACATTGATCATACTTCCTTCCGCGCTTGCTCAGATCCAGTCTGCTTTACAGCAAAACCCTTATTTAAAATCACTTCCTATGCCAAAACTCCTCGCCCCTCAAGACCTTCAAGCGACAATGGCAACAGCACAATTGCTTCGCCTTCCCGAAGTTCAATCTTGCATCGAATCCGACTTTTTGCTCCTACCCTGTGATCTCGTCTGTGAAATCGAGGGCACATACCTGCAACAAATGTGGATGGCGTCTCAAGGTCAGAACGTAATGGCTGATGAGGGAAGACACCGTCGAGGCGGACTTTGTGTGTATTATCACGCAGCGGATTCCGTGAACGATGAGGCTTCGGATCTGATAGCCGTTGAACCACTTCGGCAGACTAAGATATCTGCAAGATCAACAGTGAAACTGCTCATGTCTATCGGGCTGGATACTGTGAAACGAAACCTGGAACGCGACAAGGGTTTTCTTCTTCGTCATTCATTTGCGAAGCGACAAGCCAAACAAGCCAAGATGTTGACTGGCTACCGCGATGCACACCTCTACATTTTCCCCTACTGGGTTAAGGATCTCGCACGGCGTCAAGAAAGACTAGTGTCCATTAGCGAAGATCTCATTGGGCTCTGGGCCAAGTCTGCATGGCAGCGGGGACTACATGAAAAGCTTGGAATGGATACTTGTGTGAGCCAACAGAAAGAAAACCATGGAGAGCACGACTACCGAGAATTGAGCACTATCACCCACCAACCACCACAAAACGACATATCGGAAGTACCACCCCTTCTAGCGTATCTTCATAAAGGATCTACGCGACTTGTCAGTCGTGTTGACAATCCCGCTCTTCTCTTATACACCTCCCTTCGTCTAGCCAAACTAGAATCCATTGAAGAGGTCGGCCGTGCAGCTACCCAACCCCCATTCGCCCACGACCGAAAGATCGCTTCTCCTGAATGTGTAGCTTCGGACTGTTTTATTTCAAAAGCCGACTGTCTCCTTGGATCTAATGTGATTGTCGAGAAACGTTCCGTTATAAAGGAATCTTGTATCGGCCCGAACTCCAAGATCTGCAGTGGTGCCCGCATCACGCGATGCGTTATTCTTGATAACGTTGTCATCGGAGAAGGCTGTGTGTTAACTGGATGTGTAGTTGGAAGCGGTAGTTATATTGGCAATGACTCGGTGCTTAGGGATTGTGAAATTCAGGAGGGGAATGTTGTTCCTGAACAAACTGAGGCTAAGAATGAGAAGTTTATGCCACTTTTTGAAGATCTGGAGGAGGATACCGATTGATGTTTGCGAATATTTGCTAGAATGTCTATTTCCCTTTATTCTAGCCATCATACCAAGTACCAAGTATAATAATACATATGATACACAGTTAGTGACATAGACCAGGAGCCGCGAACAAGAAATGTCCGAGGATAGACCATCTGTGAAAAGGATACCACCAAGAATTGAGTGCATCATAATAAATAAGTCTTACACTTCCCTCGTGAAATTAAAAATCAATATGTGAAGTGACATGCTGAAATTTAGGATGTCCGACACAACAATCCACTTTTCAGGTCATAGTTCCACATGTCACTACCAAGACCGCTCCAGATAAACAAACTTTCACTGGGGTCGTACTTGCGCTTGATCTCAAGAAGACTTTCGTAGTTCTCACCATAGAAATCCTGCTTCCATGTAGTGCTAAACGGGTTTCCCTCATTCATGTAGGCACCGGTATTTGGAGCCCATTTCCTCCATACAGGCTCTTTGACTGTTTCATAATATTTAGCTCCCGATTTCAAAGACTCGGTTGGATCACCAGTAGCATTCATTGATGCCCCGTAAGTCATAACATGTGCGTAGGCTTGACGCCAGGCTGGAAGGACACTTCCACGCATTTCTTCCGGAACGCTAGCGGGTCCAAGCCCAGCCTGTAAACCGAAGAGTAGCATTGATCCAGTGGGACTTTGGGAAACGAGGATTTGTTGAAGGTATTGAATCAGGTCCTCTTTGGTAATATCGGAGAGCTCCCGTCGGCCCAAGAGGCGACTTGTGAGCAAGCTGACAGCCCCTGCGTTGGTGCTAGAGTCAGTCGCAGTGTAGAAGCTCTTAGTGGTTGGTGCTGTCAAAGAAAATCCCAAATAGTTCCCTTGGGTGGTGTTGGCGATCCGGTTTACCAGATTGTTGATCGTAATGTTTATTTCACGCGTAGTCATGTTAAACCCGGTCAAACTCACGGAAGCAGCGACACCCGGAGGGGATTGATCTAGCCCCATCAGTGCCACAGCCTGTTTACCCGTAATTGCGGACACACTGCCTGTGAGACCAGTATCCATGATATCGGGAATGAGAGAAGCAAGCTCGGCCATGGCATTCCAGGACGCACTTTCGCTGGCGTTGGAGTGGGAAGTTGCATGGAAAGAAAACCCTCCCGTGACCATGTTGTCGGGTACGGGGTAAGTTTTCAGAACGAACTCGGTCACCACGCCAAACTGTCCTGCACCGCCGCCGCGAACGGCCCAGAAAAGATCTTGGTTCTGCGCAGCATTGGCAACAAGGCGCTTACCATCAGTGGTGATGACAGTGGCTTGGTACACTTGGTCCGATGCAAGACCATAATGGCTTGACAGCCACCCGTGGCCACCGTTCTGGATCAAACCACCAGTCCAACTGTGGAGTCTTCGCCACCCACTATGGCTCTATGCACGTTGTGTGCAGCGAGGTTGGCAGAGCCCCAGTAAATAGCTTCCGTAGCTATTGAGAATCAAAAGCCGGTAAGCCCCCTTAGTCCGTAAAGAAGTAGTCGGAATAAAGAGCTTCGTAAGCTAACGAAGTCTAATTTTATCCGAAGTCTAGCAGTTAGGACTAACTTCAAACCGCTAGTCCTCTGGAAGGCCGTCGAACCATAATTTAATAAAGATCTTACCTTTAAAAATCACGCACGGAGGAAGGGCCCAACTAGAAGCATTTAAATATTTAATAGTAGTCACCTACTCGCGATTTCTAGGTTATAAAAGTACTCGCCGACCGTAGTATTTACTCCTTATTATAACCTTCGTAGTTACCGTTAATCCTATCGCGAAACTAGTCTCGTTAAAGTTATAAACGTTATCGGGATCGATTCTAAATTAAAGGATTATCTTTTAAACTAAATTAAACCACTCCCTAATAATTTTAGGGTCTTTATATTTCGTACGCTCGTAATTATATCGTTTTAAGAACCGGGAGGATAGGAGAGGACGTCGTTTAACGAAATTCGTAACCCAATTTTCGCCGACCGAAAGGACCGGGGTAGTTTGTGAAGACTTACTATGAAGGGTCTTCAGGAGGGGTAAGATCAGAGTGCCAAGGGCAGATACAATACGAATTACTACTGCGAAGCAATTGTAACTAGCACTACGTATATATTCAAACTGAACTATAAACCCTTATTTATAGTTCCAAATCCGCTAGTTATGATCTTCCATTCGGTAATTGATAGTGATATACTGTGGCTGTCGCCCCGGACGCCTGTACGTTTCGGATTGAACCATATCGTGCTAGCTTTGACGAAGGTAATCCCTTGCGCTCGCTAAAGGCCAAAATTAAGATGATGAGGGCAACGGTGTATAGGATACATTTTGTTAATATTTTGAAGGAAATCATAGTAGCAATATTCCAAATTTTGTTATCGGTGTGTTGGAAGTGGGATGTGGGAAAAGGAGGAAAATATGTAAAGAAGTTGTACAGATGAGCGAAAGATATAGTAATAGTCTAACTGTCTTGTTGAAGATGATTTGCTGCCGTTGTCAGGCTTCACTCTATTCCCTCCGTAGAACTAGTAGTTGATCAACCGGATAAACATTCACAATAGTTGTATTTGATACTTGAGTTATATATCAAGCAGATAGAAAAATGGTCCACGATGTGTTATTTGGCTTGCACTTTTCTCTAGTCAAAACATCTCTTCATTAATATGTTCATACCATATTTTGTTCCAGATTTGATTGGAAGCGCTGAGTGTTGCACACGGGGATCCCCAGTATTGTTCGAATGTAAGTTCATCCAAAAAATCGCATTTCCAGTAATAGGTTTGGTAGCGAATCCAAGACCATTGTCGCTGTTGATGTTACTGAATTTGGCTGGATCTGCATCCTGAGGAGCAGGATACAAATGATGGAAACAAGTTTCTCCTCCCTGGGGATCATCTCCCATATAGGCGAAAAAGCTTGCCGCCCGGTTACATGTCAGGCCAGATGCCAGCTTGGGTGGAGAGGTGAACCAGTCATGGTGAGGATCATGTCTTTCGTTCTCGCGGTACTTAACCACTTGAAGTTGCTCAAACCCGTCATGGGTAACAAACCCAACGAAATCAGTCGACCGTTGAATAATGCACTCAACCACTGGGTCGTCCATAGGAAGGCGACATGAACTAGCTATGCGGCGAGACGTGTGATCCTTTTGGTCAGGGTGTTTATCTTCGTGATACATAAACGTCTCTTGGCTGTCCCTAACCCCATTGCCAAGATATCAGTATTGTTTCGCTTTTCGAGGTGAGTTTTTACTCACGCTAGCTCACGCAGATGGGTAATCTCCCAGTTCGACATGAATCCATTGATATAAATTGCCAAAGGATCGAGGGAAACTATCTCAGTAGTATAGTTTGAAGCACCACATGGCATGTTGGTCATGTTCACCTGGTGCGAACCAGTCCATTCTTCCCACATCGATCGGAAGGGGCTTGTAAATACAGCCAAAGGAACCAAGGCATATTGCATCCATTTGCTCTGTTATAATTTTTCATTAATAAAAGGACGCCGATAGTTGATTTGGTGAGGGGGGTGTTCTTGAATACCATCTTTGCAACGTGATACCAGACACTCAATGGTAATGACGACCTGGAATGACAACAGTTGTGGAAGGTTACGACATTCTCCATGATATCAGTCCGGGTTTATGGCTCTTGGATCGGATGTTGCAACTGCCCAAAGCCGCCAGTAATTTCGTACTAACGCACGAAGCGAAACCGAGACAGAAACACCGTGCACTGCATTTGGCCCCTGCATTGATAACCTTGTATTAGCTGCAGACGCTGGTTTATCTCCGTTGTATGCTTCCAAGATTACCTCCAAATATTGTGCTTTTAGGGGCTGTAATTATAGAACCGCCTGTTTGAACGAGCTTGAATCAATACCGTTTTGGAGTATCATTTCTGTCACAATACATCATCAAAACATTTAGATACATGTATGTACTGTATCTTTCGAGTGCTCTTTGTCTGACCCCACCCACCAGTGGGCACTCCACCTTCCCTTCCCCCAAATCGATCATTGTGCCGTCTCCATTAAATTGATCTTGCTGGCAGGTCTCTTTCTAGCTCTTATCATTTCCCTCGACAACATTTATCTCTCCCTGCCAGTACCAAAAATTAAAAAACTGGAATCTTTTCAAGCCTAGGCCACTTTGACCTTTTCGAAAATGGCAACACTTCCCGATCTACCTACTTTCAATCTCAGCCCGTCCACACTGCTGGATATTGCGACAGACTTGGTGAACCAAGTGCGACAAGCTGCGAATGACCTAGTCAACCATGTTTCGCCGCAAAACGCAACATTTGAGAATACTCTTCGCCCGCTGGCAGATATTGACAACGAGCTCAAAGGAAAGGTTCAATACCTAGCCCTTTTCCAAGCGGTTTCCCCTTCGTCTGAAATGCGTAACGCATCGTCAGCGGCTGTGAATATGGTAGATAAAGCATACCTGGGTATTTTCCAAACACCATCTCTTTTTGCCTTGGTCAACGCTGTTTACAAAAACTACGTCGATACGAAAAGCGAAGACCAAAAACTTCTCAACATGATTCACTCCATGTTTATGGAAAATGGGCTTGAACTTGAAGGAGATAAGCGGGACCGATTCCTTTGGATCTCAAATCGTCTCATTGAGCTACGAGTTGCATTTATGGAGAATCTTAGCTCTGACCCTGGCTATGTGTGGAAAGACCACTACGAGCTAAAGGGGGTAGCCACAGAAAGCCTGCAAGCATTACCTATGCATTCCTCGACTAGCCAAAGGGGTATCAAGCTCAAGAAGCCAGATATCACTATGGTATTGACTCGGTGTCATATCGCTGAGACACGAAAAGAGGTATTTCTTCGGAGCCAAAATATCTTCCCAGACAATCTTGAAATGTTTAACGAGGCAGTTATCCTTCGGGATGAATCGGCCCGTTTGCTTGGATTTTCATCATTTGCAGCGCAGAAATCGAGACATAAGATGATTAAATCCCCCCACGATGTTGACCAGTTACTGGATGAACTTTACAATCACTTGCAGCCCCTTGCGCAGAAGGAGTTAGGAACGTTACAGCGCCTTAAAAAGGGAGATGGAGAAGATGGGGATCACTCTTACTGTTCCCTTTATCTCTGGGATTTCGACTACTACCAGGATCGTTTACTACGAGAAAAGTACGATACCAATCATGAGCTGATTGCGGAGTACTTTCCCACAGAGATCACAATTCGAGGAATGCTGAAGGCCTTTGGAACAATTTTTAGCCTGTCAATCGCACCCGTTGAAGTCACTAAGGAGCAGATTTGGCATTCCGACGTTCGAGTCTTTAGTGTGAGAGATGAACAATCGGCTTTTCTGGGATTTCTTTACCTTGATATCTACGCTCGAGAGGGCAAGTACAACCATGCAGCCAATTTTAACATCTATCCTGTTCGTGCCTAGGTGAAACCATATCAGGGAAAAGTCATTAACACATTACTTCAAGTCTTACTCCTCCATGGGAAAACAGAAGCAACCGGTTGCCACCGCATTGGTATGCAATGTCTCACGACCATCTTCAGAGAAGCCGGCTCTTCTACAGCATCGAGAATTAATTACGATTTTCCATGAGTTAGGTCACGGTAAGCGAAATTGATATTAGAAATGTTGAATTTATATATACTAATGCTGGAAAAGGCATACATGATCTCCTCGGAAGATCCAATTATGCGATGTTCCACGGACATCGAACAGTTGCAGATTTCGTTGAGGCTCCCAGCCAATTGCTAGAATATTGGTGTTGGGTCCCTGAATGTCTCCAGATGCTTAGTTGCCACTATTCCTACGTCTCCGACAAACAATGGCCTTCTACTCTTGTGCAGCCTCCTAAGGAGATCCCGGAAAATCTGGTCCGCAGCCTCATTGCAGCTAAAAAGGTCAATCAAGGGATTCTCACTCTTAGGCAACTTGCATTCAGCAAATTCGACATGCAAATCCACTGCCCTAGTTCCCACCATCTCATTCAGTCAATCCGTACTGGCGAAATTTATAACTCGCTCCTGCAGAAAATGACACTTCTACAGGGCCCTGAGAATAATATAGACTGGGGGAATGGACATGTTACTACTTCACACTATATGTGGGGCCAAGAAGCAAACTATTATTCCTATCTCTAGTATGTTTTACCGCCATTTATATAGAGAAGTATGCTGGTTGTTAACTTATCTTCTAGCACCCGTATGTTGGCGGCTGACCTTTGGTTTTCCAATTTCCACTCAAATCCAATGAGCCGTGATGCTGGTCTCCGGTACCGAAAAATGATACTAGCACCCGGAGGAAGTCATAATGAGATGATGGCCCTCGAGACATTCTTGGGGAGGTCGCCCACACTTGACGCATATCTTCGAGATATCGGTGCTCGTGAATGAAGGATCATGTTGAGAAACATAGAGCAAAGTACTGCATTGAGCCGCTGTTAAGGGAACTTCTTGCCTTGAGCAGATAGGACCTCTGCTCCTCTCCAAAATTGACACCTCTTTCTCTCTCTCTCTCAGTTCAATCCATGAACCAAGCCCGCCGTAAGGTACTTGTGCCTCGAATGATTCCTGTCATATAAAATCCCTCTGCTTCCATAGTTTCAATATCAGATATCTCACATTATATCCCATTCCTAGTCGTAATACAAAATTCGCGCCTTTGAATCATAATTGCGAATATCAAGCGGTTCAATTCTAAACAAATCGAATAATTCCCCTAGGTATATCAAAGCCCAATGGAAATACTATACTATTTTGGGAAATTTTCATAACTCGATTGTCAAACGCCATCTAGACCAGTGTATAATTGTACTCCCCATATATCGCTCGGATTGTTGAATCGAGTCTTCCGATCATATGCATTGATTGCTTGGAAATCATCATCAGCCAATCGAACATGCTGAGCCTGTAGATTCTCCAAAGCTCTGTCTTCGTGTTCACTTTTAGGGATGACGACTATTCCCCGGTGCATTCCCCATGAAAGTGCCAGCTGCGCCACTGTTATCCCGTTTTTTCGAGCCAATGAGATCAAGAAAGGGTCTTGTAAGAGGGGCGTATCGGACGAATTATAGATTGGATTCATATTCCCAAGAGGCGAATAAGCGATAACACGGAGTCCTCGAGCTAGGTTCCAGTTCACGAAAGCGGTTTGTTGAAGATAGGGATGAGTTTCGAACTCGTGTACGCTGGGCCGAACCCGGGCATGTCGCAGGATCTGCTCTACCTGAGCTTGGTTGAAATTTGAGACGCCAATCTGCCGCACAAGCCCTTTTTTCACGAGCTCTTCCATTGCCCACCAAGTCTCAAGAATGTTGACGTTGTCAATAACATCCTTGTGACCGGTATCTGGCTTAAAGGCGACTGGCCAGTGCATCAGATATAGGTCAAGGTACTCTAACCCAAGGTCTTCAAGCGTTTTGACAACCGCTGGACGCACAGAAGATGGTTCATGTGCGTCATTCCAAATTTTGCCTGTAACCCATAGGGAGGATCGTGGAATCCCTAATTGGACTATGCCCTCGCCAACTTCTTTCTCGTTGCCTGGAGGATATGGTTAGCTATCAAGTTTTGAAGAATTTTGATATGGCTAGAAGTTAGCAATTTCCTACCATATATTAGTGCAGCATCAATATGTCGATATCCTTTTTCGATAGCAAACTTGACAACAGCTGAAGCCTGTGTTGGAGTGTTAGAATCGTAGGCCCTTTCGTCTGGAGAATTTTCGAAGTCGAAGTCAGAGAAATAGAGAGACAGAAAAAGAAAAATACCTTTGACTTTGGAATCTGCCATGTTCCCAGCCCAAGAGGTGGAATATAGAGCAATGGGGTTATCTTGTACTCAGCTTCGTAGTTCTTGCCTGAGGTCGCCAAGAACGGCTGGTATTGCTGGAATAAATTGACCATCACAACAAAAACCACAAGCGCACCGAATGGAAAAATTGACCAACGAAGGATCATTGATCGGGAGTTAGCCATGGTTGTTGGAAGCTTGTTCTGGGGTGAGGGGTAACGAAGATGGATGGAGGATGGAACGAGGTGGGCGTCGCGGGTTGTTATGAGTGCCTCAGGCTAACTGACAATGTACTAGGTATATCATTTGCTAATTGGATCGGAGTTACGAGCTAGTTACCTGACATTACTTATCATACATCTTTCAGGATAACGCGGTTCATACATATTCAATCAAGTACACTGCAGCTGGCAATTTCGGGCATTCAAATAAAGTATATCCATGAAATGAGACTGATTGCCAAAAGACTCTTAAAAATACTGAGGTGGCCAAAAGTTCATCGCTACTTTGCTGCCCTCAGCAACAGGAAGAGCAGCATGTAGAGTACGTTCATCCCCAGTCCCATCAGAACCCAGATTAACCCAGAAGATAGCATTCCCGCGCCGTGGAGGGAACAACAGCCCCAACCCATTTTCACCTGTCCAAAACCGGCCCTTTTGCCCAGCTCTCTGACATTCCGTGCACGAATTGTTCATACCATTGATAAGCGGGAAGTAGGTTTCCCCTCGAGTGCAATTGTCATCCAGATAGGCCAGAATAGTAGTCCGCCGATTATATAAACGACCGGACCGATTTTGAGGCACAATCCACCAGTCGAAATGGAGATCATTCTTCTGCCCGGGCTCATATTTCACCAGCTGTGGGTTTCCATAGTCACCCAGAACTCGCTGTGTTCCGCCGTGGAAATCAAGCGCCCGTTGGCCGATACATGCGACTACAGGGTCGGATTTAGAGAGATAGGCAGAACTGGATGTTTTTCTTTCGTCGGGTATGGCATCGTCGGTGAGGGAGTTGCCTTGGTATGTCAGCATTCGTTTATAGCGTGACTGCCTGTATTCGTTGCTTGTGTCAGCATCGTTGGGTAAAAGAGCGATGTGAGTCACAAACCCTTCTTCTAAGAGCCACGACACCTCCTTTTGCGAGAGGAAGTTATTGATGTATATAACCAAAGGGCTCTGTGAAACAATCTCCACTGTATACTGATGATTCGGGCAGATGGTGGCGGTGGGGATGGCCGCGCTGCGGTGCCAGCGATAGAATAGTAGAAGTAACACCAAAGGGACGGCTGCAAGCAATTGGAGGCTTCGAGCTAAGTTCAAGTGCTTCAACTTCATTATTATTTCAGTTGCTTCAGCAGAATTATTGTCAGGGAGTGTGCGTATAAGAGTGAATTAACGTACATACGTAGTTATATGTAACGAATTGGCCGATTTCAGATATGTGAAATGGTTATTCACGGTAAATACCAGTACGTATCTAAGTAAACCAATACAGGTACTCAAGCTAACATCGTACTTCACGAACAGGGTATAATTCGTGAGTTAATGCAATATTCGATAGACACAAATAGGGTATGCAATGGAACCACATGACCCTTCTTGATGTATATTCCGGGAATATTCCCGGTGTGATGTGCGGACTCCGACTACTCCGTAGTGAATCCATGTTCACTCCAGCTGCAGGCCAACAGTCCCTTCCCAAATGGGCTATGCCGGGAGCCCCTCAATTTATATTAAATTAATTACTGATAAGAAGCAGAAATTGCGTGGTTTTGTTTTGACCTAGCCTTTGTGACGGCGAAGCTAGAGTTTGGCTAGCGCGAGCATCTTGAGCGTCGCAGCAATCGAAGATGGCTATGATAAGCACCAAACAGCGGGGTTTGGAGATTTGATGCCCAAATCCTATTGATATTCCAAGGTTGTTGTGGGCCTTCACCGAAGCAAAGATTGAACCGTCCATTCCGAAAAGTATCATTGTTACCCTGATTCCCACCTATGATTCTTACATCGCCCGGAAGCATATTCAGACTACCGACGACCTAATGCCACTCAAAACATTCTTTTCCATGCTATGGGACAAATCATCCTATCTAGTCTACACTCATATCGAGTCTGAAGTGATTGATCAAGAGGGTTTCGATTGCGAGCATAAATCCACCGAGCAGTCAAGAGCCCAGACAGTCCGAACGCATAAGATTCTGACATGGGCTATGCCCATCTTCTTTACATCTTGTGTGGCCGCCTTGTCGGTAGCGTCTTTCTATATCGGACGACGCAGTGTTATAAATGAAGCCCAAACCTATCGCACAAAATCAGATTTCGTCTTCGGAGATGGTTATATCTCCTTTTTATCGAGACTTTATGTAGTCTTATTAATATTCATTTGCAGGGAAGCTGACTCTACAAATAGTGCCCGTCAAGAAAGTTCGATGGATCAATGACCACCGATTCATGGAGACAGACCCAATGGCCGGTCGTTTTTGGTCCAACAAGGAGGGTAAATGGACTGTTTGGGATCAGGTTCATCGAGGTGAGAAGCAATAGGGGCCTTAATTCATTACTTCCTCACTAACTTCAGCGTTGCCAGGATCTTGGATTCAAATCGCCCCGTCCGAAAAGCATGAAATCTTCGGAGGTCTTCCCTTGAATCTATACTCAGCCAATGGGTCCTGGCCAAATGGCAAAGAAGGATACGTTACAACAGTCCTTCACCAACTTCATTGTGTGGTACGTATTCCCCATCATTAGTTGCCGCCATGGCCATTCACGGAGTAATTGGGCTGACAATAGTACCAGGGTATGTTGAACCACTTCAAGCTAGAGTTACTCCATGGCAATATGCTAGACGCGAATAAGTTAGAGCACATGGGTCATTGTATCGAGTATCTTCGCCAGGTAAGCTCGCTGATTGTCTTTTAAATTACATACTCTGCAGCGCCTAACCAAGAAGCACAAAGGAGGCAGGCAGGGCTTGTGACCCATGCTGGTCTGTTGATTGGATTTCTGATAAAGAAAAAAGAAAAGAAAAAAGAAAAGAAATAGAGTAAAAGAACTACGGAAAAATAACGTGCCTCCTCACTCTTTTTTCTTCTTCTCATCTTCCTCCTTGTTGGAGGCGCCTTCCACTGATTAATCGTTAGCACATCTGCTCAATAATTCTGAGCTTGGCGCTCTCAATATTGCTCTTTTGCTCAATCTCCAGTAGCTCTGGAGACTGGGAGTAGAGCGACTGGGCTCGGGGGTGTTGACGTACGGCATTAGGAAGTTCAGGATCTTGTTCCTGTTATTTTCGTTTCCCCGATTCCAGTCTCTGAGACAGCGACCTCCAAAACTACCGTAGGCCGCTTCTCACAGCCGCGAGGGGGTCTTATCGGCACCCAGCCCATATCGGGCTGTTTCTTTTTCCCATCGACATTGATGTCGACACCTGGATAATGATGGATAGCTAGGTCAAGCCCCATGCGTTGAATAGCCAGGTCGATGGCTTTGTTGACGGCCATGCCGATTTCGCCGTGTTCAGGACTAACAATCTTGACTATAAGCAATTCGGTCGCCGGGTTGAAAGATGTGCGGATTGAAAAAGAGAAATGGGATCGTTGTCGATGAAATCCCGTTGAAAAGTGGCAGGATCAATGGAAAACATAATGTATTCGGTGGTCTCAATATCTGGCTCCATGTTGGTCGTAGTTTCCCTAGAATTGCGTATCGAATTAAGGAGGTGCTCTCGTTCAAGTGCAAGTATTCGAGAAAAGTGATCTTTTCCTTCATAACGATATCACCTAACAGAGGGAGGTAGAGGTTCTGAATCGATTTTAATTTCGACCGTATTCTCGGTGATTCGACACAGGGGTCAGTTTAGTTTAGGGGATATTGTGCAGAAATATAATCAGGACGTTCAGATCTCCAACGGTCCCAGATGTATGTCACCAGTGTTGTTGTTCCTGAACTGGCGCCAGTTGGCTGTGGATCTTGGGCAAAGGCCACCCGACCCACCGCTCCCTGACAAGTGGGTTGTATGCTCAGAGTTGGGTCCCAGTTCCATGTCTTCCGGAACAGCTCGTGAGTTTCCCTCTCGTTTGGGATATCGAACAGGCAGGAAGCCACCAGCTGATCCCGGAATCGGTGTTTCAACCTCAATGTAGAGGCAACGGACCTCCTACCCTGCTAAAAACCATCTAAACATTGCTCAATCTGTAGCAAATAACAAATAGCAAACAAAAGGGGGTCTGTAGCAAACATGCATGTTTGCATGGGAGATTGTTCAACAGATGCCCAATAGAACACAGTGTTGAATTTGGATACATCGAACGCAGAGGAGATACCGGTGCCAAGGCCGTGTACGATGAACTTCGACACGCACAACAGGAAACGGTGCTACCTAACGGTGTCACGTACACCAATAAATTGGCAGATGTTGTGGAGGCCTACTCTTACTTCTCTTACTCAACTCACATGCCGTTCCTTTAGTTTTCTTCTCCTTATATCAAGCCTTTTTTCATGTTGCACTATCATTATATATATAACTGACTTTTGCAGGGATCACAACATGATCACTAAGCGGTGATCATTTATTGATAGTCCAGCGCTTAGAAGATATCAGTTGTTAGTGCTAGATCACTATTGCGGGTATTTATATCGTCACACTGAACTGATCCTACACCATTCTTAGTTCTAAAATATTCTTAGCATGCGCAACAAACGCCGAGTCTTCCTTTCGATACATCATCGCAATTCTCTCTCTGTCGGAGAGAACAGGCAGCGGCTGGGCTATGCCGCATACCACTGGGGAATTCTCATTTGCCCCAAAAGGTCAAAGGCGTCAAGTTGCTATTCTTTCGACGTGAGCGACGGGGTGCTCCTCGAAGATTCACCGAACAGAGTCAATCTTAACCCAGAATTCAACTGGCTCTTTCGAGAGAAACAAATCAGTGTTCCTACTCCGAGCGCCCGTCTTCTCGAAATGGTCATGATCGGAAAGGTCCCGAATGAGGTGACCTGGGAGGAAATCCGCGGTCTTCTTGCCGCGGTTCAAGTTCCTAAAAAGAATGCTGTACCGGAGCAGAATTGCGTCAGCTGGGCGAGAGCTGCGGTTTATAAGCTTCAAGAGAAGGGTCTGACAACTAAATATAACCTCGACCTCGACTTGCTCATGGACAGGTCGCTTGCTTTTGCGGATGAACGTATACGCAATCCGGAGTCTACCACTATCAGCATCGATTTCATCGATTGATATTTGTCACCTGCAAAACGCCCGAAGTCTTATTATCCCTTTAGAGTCACTTATGGTCTAGGGTGGAAATGGTATGCTCGGCCCCTCGCCAGACATACTGTGGCTCGTCTACTTTCCGTCAGGGAATTTGTTCCGCCCTGAGCTCGTCATCATATCTGTCTATAGTATTTTCCAAACCATTATACCAATCTGGCCGATATAGTATACCGTCTTGTGCCCTAGTATACTCCTAGTATTCCAGGTACTAGCCGCTAAATCATCCGAGTAAGAAATACGAGAATACCTAGGTAATTTAATAGGGTTTGAGATAAGTCAAAAAAAAAAAAAAAAAATGATTACAGACAGCGCCGATAAAATGCAAATCAAGCATGGCAGTATAAACGTCGTGACTATCTTAGAGACGACGTTGTCTTCTATATATCTATATGGACATTTTCGATTGTATTGGACATTACCAACGTTATTCACGCGATTGTCGACCTTTATGGCAACAGCTTTGCAATTGTGCTGCAGCCTGCATTAAGCGACTTTCGTGTTCCCGGACCGTCTTCATCACCAATTTGATTGCGTTATTCTCGCTGGATGGACTAGACGGTCGACTGGTGTCGATTTCGGCGTTCTCGCTAGATACAAAAGACGCCGTAAGTTTGTTCACCGAGCCCCCCAGGGTGTCTAGTAGTCGCAAGGCTGACTGGATCACTAACCCAATGTGACTCGCTGGATCATCCACGGAAAACGACCCGATTTGTAGCGAGGGCAGTGGAATGGGCATGCCTTTGGCCAACGCAGCACCGAACTTTTCAGCGGTCTGCGAGAAAGTATTATAATAAGCTTCGATCAGCCGCATATATGTAGATAAGGCATGCAACAGCGACAGTTGATCGAGCCTTGTTCCTGGCTGTAGTGGTTCCGTATCTGAAGTTCCAGGCGTGCTTTGAGCCGTGGCGATAGGCTGCTGGAACCCCGATGAAAAGGCAGGGGATGCAGAAAGCGGCATTTGCCAATGCGTATTCTGCACAGCGGGCGACTGAACTGAGGAATTTCTATTTACTCGCAAAAGCTTGATCAATCGTTGCGTGAGAAGGAAAATGATGTCGATCGTACATTCTGATGACGAAGGGGAATTGGAGCTATCTGGTTCGGTGGTCATCGGGGCTGGGTTATATACCAGGGGTTCCATCGACGTGAGCCGAATTAAGTCAATGTCGAGCTCCAAAAGATCTTCCATAAATTTTTGTAGAAACTGAGTCTGTGAACCGATCTTGCGATGGGAAGTGGGTCCCAACGATCGCTCCGATGTCTGAGACGATAGTGGTGGGATGTCCGGGCCGGGTTTGTTTCCAGACTTGGGCACAGTTGGCCCGGGAAACGATTCAAGTAGAGAGAGTTGGTGATCAGTGATTTGAGGGTAAGGAGCCGTATGGTGGGCAGGAAAACGTGAGAACATCGAAGGTGTTCCAGGAAGGTTTAGGGGTGTCAAGCTTTCCGGGAAGGAGATGTCCTGGTCGACACCCATGCATAGGTCCGACAGCGTCGGCTCGGGGGTCTCCGTACCGGAAATCGGGGTTCTGTCGACGGTGAATGCTTGACGATTATCTTCTGCATATTCCCTTTGCAGCAGACCCCGGTATTAGTGGTCAGACTCCGTGTGTTCTAGGGGGTCAGGGGTACTCAACCTGTTCAGCAAGTCAATATCTCCCAGGTGTGCATTCGGTGTATAGGGTATCTGGGATGTCAGTCCCATGGCCAATGGCCTGTCGCTGGTCCATTTGGATATGTGGGAACCGTTACGGCGATTCTGGTGGTTGGGCCGACGCCCGCGGTTCGAAGGACTAAACAAGCAATTTGCGCCCGCTCTCACACAGCGGCTGCATTTCCCTGATTCGTTGCGGTGACACCGTAGTTTGAGATCATGACAGCGATCGCAAGCCTGTCGCGATGGTTGTTCGTACATTTCGAGAGCCAAGCTCAAAAAATATTGGGAAGGGGGGGGGTGGATTCGAGTTCAAGGCGGTTAATTTGGGTCGGACCGAATGGGCACAGAAGCGAAGGAATTGGGTACAGAAGTACACAAGTACACATGTACACGAGTAAGTAGAAAATCAATAGCAAATCCGAGGGAAGTTACACTTTTATCACGATATTCAAAGGCGCCTGCGTCGGCTCTTAGCCGTGGGTATCTTTTTTTCGGGGGTCCTCTCCCCCAAAAATAACACTAATAAAAAGAGTAACCTATTTTGACAGTAGTTGCACTAGAAAGTCTAGCACATTCTATTATTTGCTCATTTGAGAAGATTTAGTCTGGTATTAACGTATTGATAGACAAATGTCTCTCATCATATGCCTTTCAGGGGATGAACCTTTTATATAAACAACCTTGGAAGCATTAAGAATGAAGCACATCTCAATATCTACACATGTACCTATCCATAACTAGTTAGATCGACCCCAATATCTGTAATCAGATCTAGCTTACCAAATATTCGGCGACCTAGGACCAATCACAGGCCAGACCGCCCAATGGGGAAGTTGACTTATACTTCCCTAGGTATACAATGACCGAACCCATTCGGCATCGGCGATGTTGACAAAGAGACCTCCTATTCTTTGAAATTAGTTTCTGATGGTAATTTCCTGCAATAAAACCTTCGATTTCTGGCTTCCGTACTTCTCAATGAACTTTGACTTTGTGTTCCGTATTCAACGTCAACATGTCCGATGCTTCGGACACTAGTACCCAGTTTGTCGAGAAGAAGCAGGGTAGAGGATGGCGCTTCTGGGCAATTTACTTATCACTATGCGTGTCAATCCTACTAGCTGCCGTTGAGTCAACGGTCACGTCGACCGCGTTGCCGTTCATCGCGGATGAGTTGCATGCAGGCAAGAACTACGTCTGGTTTGTCAACTCATTTTTCTTGACGAGGTAAGTCACAAACCATCTTTTAATCCAAGTCAATGAATAAAATAAATTAACAATACATCCAATGGCAAGTGCTTGCTTTCAGCCCCTTTTCGGACAGACTGCGAATTTCTTTGGTCGACGATGGTTGATGATCGGCTCGGTAGCCTTGTTCGTCCTCGGCAGCGGCATCAGCGGCGGCGCGATTAATCCCCCCATGATGATTGCTGGGCGATCAATCCAAGGAATTGGGGGTGGCGGTATCAATGTAATGATCGATATGATCGTTAGCGATATGCTTCCATTACGCGAGCGAGGAAACTTCATGGGTATGATCTTCGCCGTGTTCGCCGTGGGCACCTCCCTTGGTCCATTTATCGGGGGTGTTATTGTACAGCATAGTTCCTGGAGATGGGTTGTAAGTATCTCAGCCCCGTTTATATCTGAGAGAATGGCAATGCTAACACGGTTTGATCAAAGTTCTATATCAACCTTCCTATTGGCGGAACGGCGATCATCTTCCTGTTTTTCTTTCTCCGTGTCAACTACCAAAAAGAGCCATGGCAAGAAAAAGTCAAGCGCATCGACTATATTGGCAACGCACTTCTCATGACTTCTATCGTCTCTATCCTTCTCGCTCTCACCTGGGGCGGTACTACCTACGCCTGGTCAAACTGGCGGATCATCGTCTGTTTGGTTCTCGGTCTCATTGGTATGACTCTATTCCACGCGTTTGAGGCCAGTCCATGGTGTCGGGAACCTATGATGCCACCACACATCTTTCGACACCGTACTTCATTCGTTGCCTTGGTCGTATCCTTTATCCATAATATGCTTACCTTCTGGGTGATCTATTTTGTACCGGTATACTTCCAGGCTGTGAAGCTTTCTACCTCTACTCGCGCCGGTGTACAGTTTCTACCTAGTGTGATTCTCGCCGTGCCGACTGCCATTGTCGCAGGTGGCCTCCTTACTAAATGGGGCCGCTATAAGCCTATCCATATCGTCGCTACGGCTGTGACTCTCCTAGGATTAGGTCTCTTTACTCTCTTCGATGCCGACTCTAGTCCAGCAGAGTGGATCATTTTCCAAATCATCACTGCAATTGGCTTGGGTCTTCTGCTCACAACCACTCTAGCTGCAGTGCAGGCTCCCCTAGAAGAGAAGGATGTTGGACTCGCGACGGCGACATGGGCGTTTATTCGCAGTTACGGTGCTATCTGGGGAATAGCAATTCCAGCTGCTATTTTCAACACTGAGTTCGCGCGCTTGTCGGGCCGTATTTCAGACCCCGCTGTTTCGGCGCAACTTGCCGGTGGAGAAGCCTACTCTCACGTCTCTTCAACTTTTATTAGGTCACTTTCTCCTCAAGTTCAACGGGAGGTAGTCAGTGTGTACACTGATACCCTGAAGCTGGTTTGGTATGTCTCGCTGGCTTTTGCTGCTCTGGGATTCATTATTACCTTCTTTGAGAAGGAGATGACACTACGGACCGAATTGGAGACGGAGTATGGAATCAAGGATGAGAAGGAAGGCAAGGAAAAGGAAACCGTCGCTGAGGTATAGACAAGGGTGTTTGAAGATTGAAGATGAAGGGTTGGATAAATTAGAGAGTGAAGTTGTCGGTACTGGTTCTATATAATCGCAGATCTTGTCTTGAAAGTTCACATCCCGAGTACAAAGGACATATAATTAAGGAACAGGAAATTTGACTTTATCTGGATCTGCTGCATCTTAATCAATTTAAATACCTAATAACAATATATCGCACGACATGAAGATTTTGTGTTATTCCATTGCTTATTTACGCTTTATCTTTCCCCTGCGCGTAGGGAACCAAATACATAAACTTGAAGTAGTTCAAATATGCAAATCCCGTGTATGTAACAGGGACATATCGTGCACCTCTCCGGATCCAGAACATTGTACACTTAGCTGCCCAGCCTGCCGAGAGTATAGCCGGCCCCATGGGTGACTGAAACGCCGATGGGACAATATGGCGGTAAATTATATCAGAATCGTCAAAGAAGGAACGAGCATGTGGGAGAAAGCGCCGTTTTGATTGGGAGTAACGTTGTAGCTCTTTATTCCCAAAGGCTGGATGTAATTCGATTTCACTGCCAACGTACCAAACTTCCGGGAGCGTTGGACTGGTTTCGTCGATAGGTCTGTTTTGTTTGAATAGTTGCACTAGCCGGACTGCCGAATTGCAATTCGATTCCACTGCATCTTGGCCTTTGGTACCGTGGGCTAGGATAAGGACGTCACACGCAGAAAGTGCTGCAATGGCTTTTTCGAAGTTTTGATAGTCCCAGTCAACGCCGAACTTCAAACTGTGAATGCTCTGTACTCCTTCTTGTTCAAGCTCGGCTATAATAGCTCGGCCAAAAGCTCCATTTCCACCCGTAACCACGACCCGTTTTCCTCGAACGGAGTAAGCAGTACCCCATACCCAGTCGAATAGTTTGATAAACGAACCGATATAGCGATCTGGGTAAACATGATGGAGGGCGTGGTACTCTGGACCAGCAAATATCCAATTGGGATCTTTTGGGGCAGTTTTGTAGACTAGGTGATTCGAGTCCCGGCCACTCGCGAGGATAACAACAGTCCCTCTGATTATTTGGATGCAAATCATTAACCAGAGGTGACTTTGTGTTATCCACATAAGCCCGATAGGAGTCGCCCAAGTAGCGAAAACATATCCTAGCACGGTTCCAAATATTTGAAGTCCCAACTCAAGTGGCAGGGCTTGAACCGAATTTTGCCATAGATACTTGTCGTCAAAGTTCATATGCCGAGTAAAATAGAGATGATGGAAACGGTGAATACGTGCGAGACGTCGGAGAATAGGATGAGATGATGTATCAGTTCGATGCAACATATAATGGACCACATCGAAGAACAAAGAGCCTATGCAAAAGAGATAGAATAAAGGTAACAGAGAAGGGAGAATAATATCACGCAAGAAGGTTTGGAGGAATCCAACCACGAAGGAAGGATTTTCATCAATGGATGGCACGTCGACTGAATAGACCTCCATATTGAATTCTGGAGAAGCAAATAATGAAAAGATTGAGGCGCATCAAGCAATTTAAGCAGGGACCCTCTTGCGCTTGCGAAAGATGAAAAGACCGAGTGGTGTTTCGAGAGTATTGCAAGGCCGATCCTCAATATAAGGACTCCCCTTTTCAGTAAATTCATGCTGAACCATTAGCATAAGGCATCCATATAACAAACAACCTTAGAAGGGGTCTATAATATATAACAAGCTTGAAAAGGTCTAAGTTGATTCGTTAGTAAGACCGTTCTCCGCTCCACCCAGTGAGACAACGCTATCCACAACTTAAGGATTCACCGAGATCGGGTTTTATCAACCAGGGGAGTGTTCGAAGCTTTTGGGTCTTTTTTGGGTCTTTTTTTCGATTTTTCTTTTTCAATTTAGTCATAGAGCATATACCTTTATCAATCATTGAAATTAATATATGCATTTCACACAGACGAAGGTGATGGGGATAAAAGGAGTGAAGAATTGTTGTTGCGCCACAGCCCCGCTCCGCTATAAGAGAAAGCGAGAAAACGAGAAAACGAGAAACCGAATACGCCAAGTATTTATTTTTATATTCGTGGACAATTGTTTCAGAACACGACCAGCTCGGGGATACTCAAAAAGAACTTCGGGGATATCAGAACACGGGCTAAATTAGATTGAACCAATCAATGCTTAGACCCTGATTTTAGTTTGGAATTTGATTTTTCTTGTCCCAAAACGCCACATAAAGGGAAAAGTTTCATCTCTACTCCGTACTCGTACATACAACATAGGACCTTAACTTGATACATTGCTGCCTGGTGCATCAGGCTACAATATCATAGTTACATCCAAATTAGGTAATTGCTTCAGGAAGATGCTACAGTAGAGGCATTTCAACTGGTGACTGGTCATCGAAGTTCAAATGTTGTTCTACTAAAGTTGATTCAAATCTCAGGCAATTAATTATGCGCAAAATCAGCTGGAAGTTTAGTGCTTTCTGTGCGTTTTTCTTCTAGATACCAAGAGCCCATCATATAAAGAGCACAACTCTGCTACATCCACGTACCCACATCTTCCATTCACAGCACACTGTGCCTCAGCCCATCTTGCATCCATGATCTGCTTAGCAATTTCTTTCCTTGACCTAGCCCGAATAGAACGATATATCCCTTGGTTGGGATAAGCAACGAGGCCGACAGTGGCCGCACCCGTTTTGACCGTTAAGCTAGTCAATCCTTTAATCAATCCCTTGGCTACGCCAACAGAACCCTCTTTTTTCTTGCCGGCGTATGTGTACACAAAGATATCCGTGAACCCTTCGTACAGCCCGTGGCTGAAGGTTGACAACCCCACCGCTGCGCCGCTCTTCCAGCCTCGTACAGGTCCATGGACTCTGGTTTGAGCGCCGTACCATCGAGGAATGGCCAGCATTCCTTCTGTAGCTGCAAGGGGTAGATCGACAAGCATGCCACGTGAGGACCGACCTAAAAACTTTCCAAGGCTGATCGCTGAAGCTAGTGCCATTTGCCTGGCATAGTTGGGATCGTTTAAAGCATGATTCGACGATACGTCAGCAATATCACGGCCTATCGATGCTTCGGTTTCTGTCGTTGAAATCGATCCGGTGGTGAGAGGTATAGAAGTAAAGACAGGAATGCCAGGGCGAGTGTTGCGGTTTGATCGGAGACGTTGACATTCCTTGTAAGGATCGATGAAGATTCCAGCTGTGGCATCGGCCATGCCTCTCAAAGTTGACAGCGACGCGGAAGAAACAGCTGTAAGAGGATCCCAGCGTTGGGGCTCTATAGTGAATGGCTTGCTTCGGTAGCTGTTTGTGCGCCCAAGTAGGTTAGTCACGGCCAGGAGGTTCGTAATTAGTCGCTATCAGCCTTACTCACATTCTGAGATGCTTTTCTTGGAACCGCCCTTGGCGTTTCAAAACCAGTGCAGCAGTATTTGACAGCTTGAGAGTCCGTTTTCCCTTCTTCAGTTTCCAAACCGCAACTTCTCCGGGGATCAGATCACATTGCATTTGTGCTTTTGGCAGATGTGCATGGAACGAATTGACTGCTGCGCGGACACCTGATTCTTGACTAATTTGGCCCGCAATGGATTGAGCCACGGCAATAGCCCGTGAAGTAAGGGAATAGGAAATAGCGTCTGCCAATTTCTGTGCAGTAAGGCTCTTATAAGGGATTGGTTCCAGCCCAGCCCCGGCGGTGGCGACCATGTTACCCCAAAAAGGTTGGCTAAAAGTCAAGGTTGGTCAGTATTAGATGGGATTATGAGAAATTGCTATGCTTACTCTCCGAAGAATGGAATGATTGTGGTAGGTCTCCCATTGCGTAGACCACATGCTGTGGTACCGGCGCCACCGTGATGTACAACAGCAGCGACATGTTTGAATAACCACTCGTGTGGACAATTCCGAATATAATAGACACCAGGAGTATCTTCGCCATGCAGTTCACTCCAGCCGCCGGCGATGATGGCGCGAACCCCTGTCATTTGGATGGCATCTAAAAGGATTGACATGGTTTCCTCCACGTCCTCGAGAACGATACTGCCAAATCCGATATAGACAGGTGGCTGACCTGCGCGCAAAAACTCATCTAGCTCTGCTGGTGGATCATAAGCCACTGGTTCACGGAAGAAGAAGCCAGCGACATCTGCAATGTCAGCTTGGATATGTTTTCCTAGGGCATGCGCAAGGCTAACTTACCTATGTGTGGTCCCCAGTCCTCCGGTTTTGATGTCAACGCGGGCGACCAACAATATGTAAAGGGAACTTTTAGAGTTTCATACAGATTCGGGCCCTCTGTGGTTGGGATGGGATCTAGCTCTAGGGTATCCTTCCGCCAGGTGTTTATCAAATCGCCCAAACTGGAATGTGTTAGCAAAATCCCAAGGTAATTTGCGAAAGGAGTAGGTACCCGTTCCATGTAATCCATTCGACAAAATGGTAGGATATATAATTTCCCAATGAAGGGTCGTTCCCAGAATAGTCCAAGTTGGCAAGGGGATGGTGAAAAGCCCTGGTAGGAGTCCAGGGCATTGTAAACATAAGGTGGACGGGGACCCCAAGTGCTTGTGCACAGTGTATATGAGCAAAGCTTGGCGGATTTGCAATAATAGCATCTGCAACAAAAGGGGTTTTATCGTGTGGGTCTGGATCTATGCAAGATCGCCAGCAACCTTCAAGAATCTCGGCAATCGAAGCTCGCTTCTGTTGAACATCACCCGCCAGCACGCTCTTCACGCTCGGAATTAATCCTGGATTCCGCACCATGTAAGACATCAATTCAACAGGGTCTCCGCCGATGGGGTAAAACCCAAGTCCAGCTGATTTGACGAATGATTCAAATTTGGCGTGGGTTGCCAACCGCACACGGTGTCCATATCGTTGCAGCTCCTCGCCCAATGCGACGAAAGGCTGTACGTCACCATGGCTGCCTACCACTTGGATGACAATGTTTAAGCGAAGGTTGAAAGGAGACACTGGTGGAGGGGAGGTCGCCTCTGCCGTTTGGGACACCTCCACTTCGGTGGATTGGGTGTTCATCAGCCATTCAAGATTTTGGCTGAATCGTAATCCAACTCTCATGTCCACACGACCATCTTCGGTCAAAGAAAGGTCAGGTAAGGGTGCAGTGGGGCATGGTAGTTCAGACGCAGGCGCAATGCCCTGTCGCATATCATCTAAACCCCAAAGATCCTCGTATGGTGGTGGGGGATCTCCATTATCAGGGAAAGTGGAGGATGGTCTCGAATTGGCCATGTTGGCATCTGGCTCTGCGCGTCGCTTACACTTCACAGGGCAGGATCTAAAGTTGAAAACAGCGGGCTTCGGGGGTTGAAGACCAAGAATGTAAAAGGAGGATGTTAAGAATTGATATCGCCACCCTGAATGCTGTTAAATGGCTACCTAGGAATAGACAACCATGTGTTGAAGCTGTCCATAGGGATACCCTGATCAGCGTTCATTTTGCTGGATGGTTCGGGAGATTATCTCCACTCTATACTCCGAAAATCTTTGATTGGTTAGCTGCCACAAGTGGACTCACCTAAATGGGTATTTAGTCTGCGAGTACGATATAATTTCCTAAATTGGACTAGTCTGCTTTGTAAATTGTAACAATTAGAGTTTTATGCTTTCCTTTTTTAGATTTGAGAATTTAACCTTGTACTACATAGGGAACCTTGGAATATATAATAACCGTTAAAGTAAAAAAATACCCTTTAACATAGCTGGTTTGAACTTTCATCATATCTTGTCGGCGATACTGTGAAACCCCGAAACCCCCTTGTCTTCTACCTATATTCATCTACCATGGCCAAATCCACACCTCGAACGATTGATCAATACTGGCACAGAAGCGGACTTTGCGGGGTCATCAGCCGTGCTACACTCCGCACTCTCCAGTTCGTCTTCGCTGTCACAGTTGCTGGTCTCTATGGTGTCGATTTAGCACACTATACCAAAAGCCACAAACACGCCCACGCAGAATGGATATACGCTGAATTTGTCGCTGCACTCTCAGCTCTGACTTGCATTGTGCATTGCTTCGTTACTGTGACCCAAGTCGGATGGTCGGCTTGGGATGGGGTTCTATTTGTCCTTTGGCTTGCCCAGGTGGGCGTTTTTGGGTCAGCCTATACTTCCCACGTCAAGACAAAATACGAAAATGCGACGCTGTCAATTCCTCGTATGCGCGCTGCGGTTTGGATCGACCTCGTCAATATGCTGCTTTGGTTTGCGA